CTTCTAACAGCTCATGCATGGTGTGATCATGCTTCACCACAACACACCACAGTTCTAAGGCATCAAGTCTTCCTTACTCATTCATTGTCCAAATTCCAAATGCATATGATGTAACTGAAAAACGCCAGCATGTGGATCAGGCATATCTTCGTCTTTTTGCCGTTGCTGTTGTTGTTGTGTACCGTCAAAATGGATCTGACTGACACAGGAGGAGATTGCCCCTCCTCCTCCAGTGGAGCGTCTGGTGGATTTGAAACGCTCGTCTTTGGGATTGCAGTGCAGCTTCTTGCCACTAGGCCACCAGAGCTCCCTTACATTTTCATCTTTAAATTGTATCTTTGCCCTTTAGCACTTTCAGGTGCCCTTGGCAGCAGATTTGCCCAGTGCAATACGTCATCTGATTTCTTGACTGCTGATCTCATGGACATTGCAATATGCAAAAATTCACCAATAGGTGAAAGACAGCTGCATATGAGGGCCAATGGCCAGAAAGCAAACCCAAGTCTCTCTCTTGGAAAGGAATAATTCTACCACTGAGCCACCATTGCCTCAAACGCTACATAAGTGTTGATATGTTGGTTTAGAAAATTTGACTCCAAGGACTAAGAAGTCTAGGGACGTATCTATTTTGCATATCACACTATTCCCTCTTAGGAGACTGAGGGGAAATGTTAGTTAAGCATTTGGCTGGTAACCAAAAGGATAGAGGTTCAAACTCTCTGGCCACCCTGCAGGAGGAAGATGTAGGCACTCTGTTTTCTTACCAATTAGAGCCTTAGAAATCCTATGGGACATTTCTCCTGTGACTTACAGGGTCACTACGCATTGGAATTGACTCAACGGCAATACTTTTTGGAAGGGTAGAATGATCCTCAATGTTAATAAAGGAAAGAGTTGAATGGTACATTCATCGTCTCCTGTCTAGGGGAGCCGAGGAAAGAACACACGTCCTAATTATAGCTTCTCCCCTCTCCCACATTTCAGTGAGAATTCTTGATGCCACGAAAATAGAGTGAAAGATATCTGAATTATCAGAAACATCGTAGAATATGATGTATGATAAGTGTATGAAAACTAGTCTATAATTATGGAACAGAGTTTGATGTTTATTTACTTCTAAAACAGCAGAAATAGTTGTAGAAAATGTAAACCATTAAAATTATGAGCGCCCTCTTGTGGTGTTCCACCACCACTGCATCAGGTTGACTGCCTCTTCTTCCTAAATCCTTTGCGCGGATTCTGACTCATATCTACCTGATAGGACAGGGTAGAGCTGTCTGATGGGCTTCCAAGGTTGTAATCTTTAGACTACGAGCCCTGGTGGATTAGTAGGTAAGGAGTTGCACAGCAACCTAAAGGTCAATAGTTCAAATTCAGTAGATGCTCTTACAGGAGAGAGATGGGAAGTTTATAGCCTCAGCCTCTGAAAACCCATTGGAGGGGTAGCGATGAGTCGCTTCTGACTCAAGGGCATATAACAACCACCTTTCTATGAATCAGAACGTCACATCTTTCTCCGACGTCGGTGGAATTGAAGTGCCAACTTTTCCATTAGCAGTCAAATGCTTAGCCACTGTGCCACTGTGCTGCTTTTTTCAAAAGGATTTCAGAACCTAGGACTTCACATAGGAGGATGTGTGAGCTCCTCAAACATCAGCAAGCTCTGGTGGCCCAGTGGCAAGAAACTGTGCTGCAATCCCAAAGGCTTGGGTTCTAGGCCAGCAGCTGCTCTGTGGGAGAAGGGTGGGCAATCTCTGGATAATAAACTTTCACTACCTCTCAAAAGCTTCGTCTTACATACTCTGGGCATGGTGCTGGGAGTGGCTGTTCTTTGGAGAGGTATCATGCCTGGAAAGATGGCATTGTCCAAATTGTAGCAAAGGTGAGAGAGAAGAAGCCTCAACCAGGTGGGCTGACACAGGGCCTGCAGCCATGAGCTTGAGTGTGTCAGCAGTTGTGAGGCTGCCACAGGACAGGGTTCAGATCTGTTGTTCACAGCGTCCCTCGGTCGTACTTGACTCGATGGCACCTAACAACAACAACAACAACAACAACACAACCACCTCTCAAAATGACCTCTGTTGGTGAGCCAAAGCACAAAAAGGTTCCCAGAATGCTCAGACTTCCCAGAGAAAGGAAAACGAAAATGTTCATGCTTAGAGCTACAATTTGGACAATGCTAAGAAGAGTTTGCTCATTTGGAGAGGATGCTTAGAGCTCAGAGAGTAAGTACCTGATGGCAGGAAACCCAAGGCTCATTCATTTCTGCCTGTTCTTGAGGTTAGCACGTGGCTTTCTGATGATGTTTGAGGCTGTTGTTGTTGTTGGTACCGTAGAGTCAGAACCAACCCAAAGCCAACCCTCCAGTGGGTTTTCAGAGGCAGTTAATCGCATGGGAGGAGATAGCCCATCCTTCTCCTACAGAGCAGCTGGTGGATTCAAACCGTATGCCTTTGGGATTGCAGCACAGCTTCTTGCCTCTAAGCCAACAGAGTTCTCTGTTGTTGTTATTGTTGTTGTTAAGTGCCACGGAGTCGTAGGCGACTCATAGTGACCCTATGAGCAAAAGACCTGGACACTTGTATAACTTTCGTCTTTTTTCCAGGTTCATAGAGTTACCGGAAGCAAGCTATTTCAGAAGTAAATGCCACTCCTGCTTCCAAGCTTGTTTTAATCGGGGAGCTCCACAAAACACTGTCCACCATGGGTAACCATTATCACATTTGACACATCAGTGTTATGGTGTCCAGCTTCTCAGCAACCACAAGCTACCTCTGTACAGCAAGTGGACACACTAGGGCTATATGACCTAGAAGAATGTTTGATTAAAAACATGCCTGAGGGCCGTGGATTAAAGTCACCCACCTTTGGCTTGGAAGCATCACTTTCTATCCACTAGGCCAACTGGTCTCTCTCTATGCTGTTGTTGTTAAGTGCTGGCAAGTCGTAGGCAACTCATAGCAACTGTATGACTTGCCAGATGAATTGGGGGTGTCTGGCGCAGAGTCCCCCAGAGCTCTCTATATACTTTTATTTCTTTTTTTTTATTTTTTTAACTTTTATTCTGGTTTCTTTACAAAGTTTGCACACATTGGTTTTCACTTATTTTTATTTCTTCAACACACTTCTCTCTATCTTAATTAGTCTTTGCTTTTCATCATCTATTTCCCACACTGGAACGTTAAGTTCTGGGGGGAAACCTACCTCGACTCTTGTTCATCCTGCATCTTCGTGCCTAGAACAACGCCCGACACACAGCAGGCCCTCGAGAAATATTTGCTGTGAACCTACTATCCCCTCTGCTAGACTGTGAGCTGCTGCAGCCCCCGTCCTAGGTCTGATGAACTTCAGTGTCCACGGCGCCCAGTGAGTAGAAGAGGCTGAATAATCATGCAGTGAATTGAAAAGAGAAAGGAGAAAGCGGGGTGGGGGTAGGTGAGAAATGGGGGAGAAAGGCATACCTGTGGATCTGGGGGCTCCACCCTTAACACCGAGAGACTGGCCACCTGTGAACACAGCAGAAGGCGGGATGGTCAGCCACGCTCTGAGGACTGCAGCCCTACAAGCCTCAGCTGCCCCACGTTCTCCTGAATCTGGTCACAGCCTCTGACGAGTGGGCATCGGTTATTTGGTGGGCACCTTTACGCGCAGGTTCTGTGCCTTTTAACTTAATTCTCCCAGTGCATTGGTAATTCTCACCTCCGTTAGCTAGATGGGAAGCCTGAGGCTCAGTTGTTGTTATGCACTGTCTAGATGCCTGCAACCCTGTGTACAACGACAGCCCTATACCCCGCTCTATCCTGAGCCACCTCACTGTCCCTGACACACCTACCCCCATTACCCCAGTCACTGAATCAATCCATCTCATCCAGCGTCTTCCTCTCCTGGGCAGTCCCTCCACCCAGTAATGATTTGTCAAGTTAACATCAACAGGAAGGAGAAGAGCTGGAACTCAAATCCCAATCTGTCTGATCTAAACGGGAAGCCCCTGACGGTCCAACTGCACGTGACACAACATGGAGCCTCGGGTTGAGATCTCAGTGAGGGGATGACTTTAGGGACAGTCTCCTTCAGAGGTCAGCTGCTTGAAACTTGGTGTACTCATGCGGACAGTGGGAGGGATAATAGTAGTTAGGGAGCTCTGACAGTATAGTGGGTAAGGAGTTGCACTGCCAAGCCAAAGGCAGGCAGTTCAAATCTGCCAGCTGCTCTGTGGGAGAAAGACAGGCAATCTCCTCCCGTGCAGTTTACAACCTCTAAAAACCACTTGGAAGGTCAGCTAAGAGTCAGTTTTGACTCTACAGTAATAGGAGTGAGAAGCATACTTGGTGCCTGCAGCTGTGTGAGCGTATAACCCCGGGATATGCTGTTATCTGCCTTGAAGGGGTTTAACGGTGTCAGGCAGTAGAATTACTCCTCTTTTATCATTAATGCTGTTGTGTGCAAAAGGCTGGGCCCAACTCATAGCTGGCCCTCCAGTAGATTTTCAGAGGCAGTAAATCGCCCAGGAAGAGGCTGCCCATCTTTCTACAGCTGGTGGATTTGAACTACGTGTCTTTGGGTTGGCAGCACAAGTCCTTACCACGAAGTCACCAGAGATCCCTGTTATTAATATTACTAAATATTCATTTCTTTTCGACAGGAAAATGAAAGTGCTTTCCTTCTCTTGGATTCCTTGAGTCCTCGGCAAAATCTATGTCAGAAAATCGCACATGGGGGGGATGAAAAGAAATTTGGGAATAAATTAGACATTTTCACATGTGATGATGCAGAAGGCTCAAGCTAGAGTTTGGGAAGTACAGTCCTTCATTAAAAATAAGATTGCATTTAAGTGGGGTTTAGAAATCGGATGCCACTGGAAAGGGTCTAAGTCATGAGGACCTGGGAGCAGGTGTGTTAAGAGAGGGGAGGAAAACCCCAAACACCCATGTGACTAGGAATCAGATGGAGGTGGGTTCAAACCTAACCAAGACCATCCACTAACCAGCTGGGTGATCATAAATGAGTCATGTAATGTCTCTGAGCCTCCGTTTTCTCACCTGTAAAATGGACAGAACCATGCTTCCCCCGTGAGGACACACACACAGAGCCAACTCAAATGGCAGAGTTACTATTAGTGTCAAATGCATCTCTCAGGAAGACAGATCCCTTGCAGGCTGCACTGAGGAGGCAGAAAGGCTCTGGGCACTTGGGCTGCTGACCAATCAGCTGACTCCCGTCACCAGGACTCATTCACTTACCTTTCCGCGTGATGGGTCCCAAATCTAGGATATGGGCTGGGTCAATGGCCGCTGCGTCACTGCCAAGTCTGTTTCTGGAGCAAGACTGTAGGGATTAGAGAGTCCACATTGTATCACAGGAGCTATACACGCCACCCCAGAAAGATAAGCCCCCCTGGCCGAAGGAGCAGATCCAAACACCAAATGACCCCGTGCGCAGTGCTCTGTTGCCTCGACAAAGACAATTCCAAATCTCATACCAAACAAACTCAGGTGTGGGTCTTAGTTCTACCATCTCTTTTCTGTTTCATTTTAGGCAAGTAGGTAATCTCTCTGAGCCTCAGTCTCACCATCTATTAACACGTTGCCACGAATGACAGTAATACATCGAAAAAAAAAATCTATTTCTGAGCACGGTCATCAATTTAAAAGTGTGTGGCAACGTGTTAAATGGGGGTAGTTATAGTACCTTCCAGGTCATGATGACTAAACTGAGGTGTGTTAGTCACACGGTGATACAGAATACCGTGTCAGTACCCAACACACGCCAGCTCTGAAAAGTCAGTGCCAAATTGAGATTAAGAACCCGAGAGCATTGGCCACTTTCCAACTGTGTGACCAATGGGCAAGAATTTCTTTCTCCGAGGCTCAGTTTTCTCAACTGTACAATGGGTTCGATCAAAGAAATTCCCTAAATGAACTGTGAGAATAAAAGTTGACATGACATGGGAAAGTTTCAGAACAGTATTCGGCACACTGTTGTTGTGGCTGTTAGGTGCTGTTGGGTTGAGTGTGACTCACAGCAACCCTAGGAACAACGGATCTGAACTGTGCCGGGCCCTGCGCCTTCCGCAGAATCTCTGCCATGAATAAGCACATTGTCAAAAGCACCGTGTCAGTTCATCTCATGGAGACTTCCTGCTACCCTACTTCTTCCCCAGCAGGACGGCTGTCTCCAAGGATTGGTTCCTCCTGAAGTTATGCCCCGTGTAAATCAGGCAAAGTTTCACCTTCCTGACCTCTACGGAGAACTCTGGCTGCACTTCCTTCCAGATAGATCTGCTTGTTCTTTTAGCAGTTCATGGGATTGTCAATAATCTTCATCAGCATGAAATTCAAAGACACATTAAAGTTCCATAATTATGTAAAATATGTCTTTGACAAATAAACCTAATGAATAGGCTCTCACCCTTAATCTGTCTTCTGGAGACACAGGAGTGGCTTACACATGGGTCTTCAGAAGTCTTAAAGTCCATTCATCTCTCTCTCTCTTCTCTCTTCTCTCTTTTCTCTCTCTCTCTCTCTCTCCTTCACTCCCTCCTTCCCTCTTGCCCATCTAGCTACCCACTCATCTTTTATCTCCCCTTCCTTTCTTCCTTCTTTCCCTCCTTGCATGTATCCTTCCTTGCATCCATCCATCCATCCATCTTCCCATGTATACATACATACATACACTCACCCATCCATCCATTTATCCCTCCCTTCCTCCCTCCTTCCCTCTATCCATCCATCCTCCATCCCTCCATTCACCCCTCCATCTTTGCATCTACATACATACATACATATATTCATCCATCCATCCCTTCCCCCTCCTTCCCTCTATCCATGCATCCATCCATCCATCCATCCTCCCATCCATCTATCATAACTGCAACAAATATTTATGGGAGCCCACCAGGTGCCAGGCCCTGTGCCAAGCTCTGAAAGGTCCAATCCCAGCAGACACTCACCGGCTGGCACAGCTCCTCGAGGAAGTCACAGAGATGCACCTCACAGTGCAGGAAGACTAGATCGTAATTCCCAGCAAACATGAACATCTGAATGGAGAACCGGCTTTCTGCAGACACCCCATTCTCTTCCACGTAGATAGTAGAATCCTGGAAATTGGGGCAGCTGGAGGGACAACAGGGATGAGATCTGTAACAGCTGAGGGAGCTCGAGGCCTTTGCACACTTACTCTGTGTCTATGATAAAAAGAGTCTCTGAGAGAATTAAAGACCAATCCAAGTTCCCTTCATCAGGACAACATGGATGTTTCCTCCGCATCTGTTTCCTCCGTGAAATAAACTCATCAAGTAAATTCACATGATTGAAATTATTAAAGGTCACATTCTCTGAAGGAAGATAGATTGGCTTCCATTTCTAGCCTCATCCACCTTCAAGCTAAGTGATCATGGGCAAATTCTGCAACCTTCCTGAGCCGCAATTTTCTTATCTATAAAGGGTAAACAGTAACATCCATGGTGTTGATGGGAGCTTTGGTAGCCTACGGTTAAGGAGTTGCACTGCCAACCCAAGGGCAGGTGGTTCAAATCCACCTCCTCCTCCTGTACAATTTACTGTTTCCCAAAACCCACCAGAGGGTCAGCTATGGGTTCCAACTTGAGAGTACATAACAACAACAACGTGATGTTGATAGTAAACATTTAAGGACATAAACCAGGTGTATTTCTTAGCACGATGCTTGGCACATGTGTTGTTGTTATGTGCCGTCGAGTCATTTGCGACTCATAGCGACCCTATGTACAGTAGCCCTAAACCCTGCTCTATCCTGTGCCAATCGCACTGTCTCTGACACATCCATCCCGATGACCCCAGTCACTGAATCAATCCACCTCATAGAGGGTCTTCCCCTCCTGCGCTGTCCCTTCACCCTCCCAAGCATCATGTCCCTCTCCAAGGACCTGTCTCTGCTTACAACATGTCCAAAGTATGTCAGACGAAGCCCCAGAATCCTTGCCTCCAAGGAGTAGCCTGGTTTAACCCTCTCTAGGACGAATCTCTTTGTTTTCTCGGCAGTCCAGGGTACATTCAATACTCTTCTCCAGCACCACAGCTCAAAGATGTCAATTCTCCTTCTATCCTCCCTAGTCATTTTCCAACTCTCTGATGCATAACAAGTGATTGCAGAGACCATGGCCTGTATCAGGTGGACCTTAGTCTCCAGAGAGACACCGTTGCTCTTGAGTACTTTAGAGAGGTCCCTAACAACACACTTTCCCATCACAATACGTTTTTTTATTTCCTGGCTGCTGGTGCCAAGAGTGTTGACTGTGGAGCCGAGCAAACTGAAGCTGTGAACAATCTCAATCCCTTCGCCATCCATTCTGATGCTACCGATTGGTGCAGTGGTGAGAATCTTTGTCTTCTTGACATTGAGCCTCAGTCCATACTGAAGGCTGCAGTCCTTGACCCTCTGCAGTAAGTGCATTATTAAATTATTAAATTATTAAATGAAATTATTAAAGGTCATGCATTTCTTTCCCTGGTTACCACGTTCTGATCAACGCCTTAGACCACTAATGCTGCTGGGATATAGTCCGTGACACCAAGTTCTTTTCCAAAAGAGAAAAACTAACATGCAGAATTTCCCAACATGGATAAAGTGAATACTCCCTCCTCCCTAAACCTCATTAAGCTAAGACTATAACCCTGATGTTACCCAGTACCTGTTTCTGATGATGAAATATTTCACAGGGTCATCTCTGGCTTTTGTGGGTGTCGCATAGCAATTCCTCAGCAACAGGTGGAACCTGGAGGTGTCCCCTTCATCCAAGACGGCGCCCACATAGAGCATGGATTCTACCGACAGCAGCACAGCCTTGGCCCCTTCATAAGGAGACGTGTAGTTCTCGTCCTGGAACAGGGCCATCCTGACAGTGAACTCTCCTTTTTCGGCCAAGCTGATGTTCAGGGAACTGAAAGAAAGAAAACCAAATAAATGGGAGGAAACTTTACACTTTGACAAGAAAGAGCAAACTCGGTCAAGCGCCACAGTCATAAATGGTCATGGTGGAGAAGGCCCATGGTTGCTTCACAAATGAAACTGCTCAGGCAGATTGAGTATTTGCTGTTTTCTAGACGCAGCGGGAAGCAGCTCTGATGGCCTCGTGGTAAGAAGTTGTGCTGCCAACTCACATGGACAGTTTGTGGCCACCAGGTGCTCCGTGTTAAAAGGTGAGCTGTCTCCTTCGTGATTTACAGCCTCTGGAAACCTGGTGGAGTGTCAACCGTGAGTCGGTTCTGACTGCAAGGTACATAACAACAACAGTAACAGTGGAGATTCTGAGAGCAGAGCAAGATGGGGCTGGGTCATTCTGTCATTTGGAGTCCCTAAGAGCGGGAGCCAATGGACATCCTCAAGGGAGAAAGATTCAAGGCTTGACCCATGAGAACAGAAAGCAGACAAGGGTGCTCACTATCATGACCCCTATTCAATATTGTATTACAAGTCCTGGCAAGAAAAGTAAGACAAGATAAAGAAGTAAGAGGAATCCAAACTGGCAAAATCCCTAAAGAATCCTCAAGTAAACTGCTTCACATAGTTGGCCAATTCAGCAAAACAGCATGCTAGAAGATCAACAGATAAAAATCAGTGGCGTTTCTCTACAGTAGCAAAAAAGAATACAAAAAAGGAAATAAAAATAATACCAATTACAATACCTAACCACAAGACGAAATGCTTAAGAACAAACCTAACTAGAAACCCAAAAGACTTATGCAAAGAAAATTACAAAACACTACTACTACAAGAGACAAAAGAGAAACCTAGAGAAATGGAAGAATATACCATTTGCATGGATAGGATCAGTGCCTTTGAGTTGTGGTGCTGGAGAAGTGTGTTGAACATGGCAGGGGCTGCCAGGAGAACTAACAAGTCAGTCCCGGAGAGGGTGAAACCAGGTTGCTCCCTAGAGATAAGGAATTTGAAGTTTGCCTCACATACTTTGGGCACATGGCCAGGAGGGACCAGTCCTTGGAGAGGGAGATCATGCTTGGAAGGGTGTAAGGACAGTGCAAGAGAGGAAGACCCTGGATAAGATGGATTGACTCAGTGACTAGAGAAATGGGATTAGGTCTTTCAGAGACAATGAGACTGGCTCAGGATAGGGCAGAATCCAAAGCTAATGTAATGCAGATGGCACATAACAACAAAGCAACAAACGACTTGCATAGGAAGACTCAATATCATGAAAACAACAACAAACTAAAGAGCTTGAGTGGTACAGTATTTAAGCACTAAGCCAAAGGTCAACAGTTCAAATCCACTAACTGCTCCTTGGAAGAGAGATGTGAGAGCCTGCTCACCTAAAAACCACAGCCTTGGGAACCATAAGGGGTAGTTCTACTCTGTAGTTATCATGTTACTCTGAATTACGCCAGCAGCAGATTTGACCAAAAGGTCAGAAGTTCAAATCTACCAGCTATTTCATGAAAGGAAGATGATAATTTCCCATTAAGATTTACAGCCTCGGATGCCGAGTGGAGGGAGGGTCACTAAGAGTTAGAACTGACTCAATGACATTGATTTGAGTTGTGAAACCTGATGATGAGGACAGACTGTCTGTTGCCATCATTTCTGCGCATCTTTGGATCTTGCAAGTCAAACCTGTCTCCGTCCCTCAGAGAGTCATTTAAAGTGCAGACCTCTGTTGTGTTCTCAGTTGAACCAGTTTTGTAGGTGGTTGTTATTGATTGCCTTTGAGTCGAGCACAACTCATAGCGACCCTATGAACAAAAGGCCTGAAATCCCTCTATAACTATCAACATTTATCAAAGTTTATAGGGCTTCTGGAGGCATGTTGTTTAGGAAGTGGGTGCCACTCCTGCTTCCAAGGTGGTTGTTATGTGCTGCCAAGTAGGACTCATAGAGACCCTAAGAACAACAGATCTGAATCCTGCCTGGTCCTGCACCATCCTTATCATCCCTGACACAGTTAAGTCCGTTGCCACGGACAGTGTATCAATCCATCACGTCTTCCTCGTCTTCGCTGACTCTCCTCCACTGTTCCAGCAGATCTCTTCTGTCCACCTCCACAATGTTCAATGAAATATCAATTTTAACAAATATTTTACAAACAAAACAGTATGGTGAGTGAGATATCTCAGTCACAAAAGGACAAATACTGCATAGTGCCACTGTTGTAAAACAGGACTGACATCAGGGTTGGGGGGAGACGGAAAAAGAGGCGATAAATAATGTATACTGCATGGAGACAAATGAAGGAGAGAACTGTTGAAAGGGGATTATTGTCATGACTGGAGTCCAGAACGAAGCCTGCATTACAAGAGTGGACCTGGGGGGAGGGATTGTAAAACAATGAAAGACTTTTTCTTTTACTTTTCAAAGAGAAGAACGAACCGGGGTGGGGAGGGGTGGACAGGGAGAAAAGTGCAACAATGAATGAATAGAAATACAGAAACAAAGTCTCTGTAAATTTTCATTAAAATTAATAATAAGAATAATAAAAAAAGAAGGAGAGAAAACCCCCAAACTAGCAGCCTTTGAGTCCATTCTGCCTCTTGGAAACCCCACGTGTTTCAGGGCAAAGTTTCATTCCTAGATTTTTTCATGGACATCCTTTAAAGAAGTGGATGGCCAGCCCTTTATTCCAAGTTGCCTTTGGCTGGATTCCAACAGCCAATCTCTCATGCAGTAGCTAAATATTTCACTTCTACATCACCATCACCCAGGCAGTCCTTTGAAAAAAAGATTGTTGCTATGGTGGACCATCAAGGGAGAATCAACCCATAGTTGACCTTCCATTGGGTTTTCAAAGGCAGTAAATCTCACAGGAAGAGACTGCCGATCTTGACTTTAATTTTTGTGAACTTTGAGAGGCAGCATAATACAGTCTTAAAAATTACAAAATTGGAACATTTCCAAGGGTTTTTCCTGAGTCTAAGAGACAATGAAGAAATGGAAAGGACACACTTGATTTCTCTGATGATCCCAGATAATTCTTCATGGGAATGAGAAGTAATCAGAGATACGGCAGCAAGCAAAATGGATAAAAGCCCTTGCCCACATGGACTCTTATACAAATTGTCATTTGGTTATATTTCTTTTGTGGGAGGACTGCTTATCCAAACAAATCATTCTATTTCAATCAAGACACAGGGTATCCTTGCCTGGGCTTAAATTCTCCATCTATAAGGAAGACTTATCACTCCTACCATCCCTAACCCCAAGTTAAGTCAGGAAAACCTGATCCCTGCTTTGTGAGCATCTTTCTCCCACATAGCATTCACTTCACTTATAAATAATTGTTGTCATAATTAGTTGTTGAATGCCTTAACCCCCAGAAGAGGTAAAATTATTGTTTATTAATCCTTATTAATACTTTCATATAGCTTTTTTATTGCTTCTTATAACTGGATAGTGACTAAGAATGACAAAAGAAGAACTGATGCATTTGAGTTGTGGTGTTGGGGAAGAATATTGACCATACTACCAAGAACACAAATAGATCTGTCTTTGGAGAGTGTGAAACCAACTTTCAACTGTCAAGAAAACAAATAAGTCTGTTCTGGAGAGGGTAAAACCAAGTTTCTCTTTCGAGGCTAGGATTTAGAAGCTCCATCTCACATACTTTGGGCACGTGGCCAAGGGGGACCGGTTTTTGGAGAAGGACATCATGCTCAGAAGAGTGGAGGGACAATCCGGGTAAGGAAGACCCCAGATGAGATGGATTGATAGAGTAACTGGGGTAATGCGGGTACATGTGTCGGAATCAGTGAGACTGGCTCAGACCAGGGCAGGCTTCAGAGCTGTTGTACACAGGGTCGCTGTGAGTTGCAGGTGACTTGATGACACAGAACCACAACAGCAACCCACAGAGCCTATGTCTGCTTTGTTCATGCTGAGCATCTTTACCTGTGGAATGATGAACGAAGGAAAGATTGGTGGACTCGTGACCACTCACAGGTTTGGCAGATAGTTCTTCGTTTATATTACTATTTGCTCTAATAATACACAGTACAATCAACAGGGTCAAAGAAGCTGTGCTGCAATCCTGAAGGCACACGGTTTGAATTCAACAGCTGTTCTGTGGGAGAAGGATGGGCAACCTCCTCTTATGCCATTTACTGCCTCTGAAAATCTACTGGAAGGTCAGCTATGCTTTGGTTCTGACTTGACAACACACCACAACGACAATCTTATGCAAACATCCTGAGGGAGTGCACTGCTAGTCCTCGGGCCTCAAGACCATAGTCTTTGGGGACTTCAAAATCAACTGGCAAACACCATCCATAAAGACAATGTTCTACGTTCTCATCTCAAGAACTTGCGAACAGCCATCTAAGGTACAATAGTCTCTTTCTGTCTGGAACAAAGAGGGCAGAAAATCAGAGCTACAAAGAAACAATGAGTCCAAAGGACTATTGGTCCTTGTGAACAGCAACCTTCATGACCCAAAGACAAGAACTAGATGGTGCCCAGCTGACCATGCTAATAAAGATCACAGTAAAAGGTCCTAGATAAAGTTGGCAAAAAAATGTGCAAAATCTTACAGAAAAACTAAAAAAAACAAAGATAACTTCACTAAGCTTATAGGCCCAATAGAGACTGGTGGAACCCCAAAGACTATCACCCTTAGATAATCCACTCCTATGTATATCACTGGGAAAGTCTGCACTTAGGGACCTCTCCAAACTATTGAGGAGTAATGAAGTCAGTCTGAGGATTAAGGTGCCTCTGATTCAGGTCCTGGTCATTCTGATCACTTGCTATGCATCTGAGACCTGAACAATGAATAAGGATGATCAAAGAGGAATTGATGCTTTTGAGCTGTGGTGTTGGAGAAGAGCTTTGAACATCCCATGGACAATGAAAAGGACAAACAGATATATCCTGGGTAGGGTTCTAGCCAGAGCACTCTTTGGAGGCAAGGACAATGAGGCTTCACCTCACATTCTTCTGGCCTATAGGACAAGATGCACAGAAAGATAGAGGGTCAGTAAAGAAGAGGAAGACTCTCGACCACGTGGATTGACACCATGATTACCGCAATGGGCTCTAGTGTCTTAGGAAGTGTGAGGACGGTACAGGACAGGACAAGGTTCTGATCTGTTGTTCATAGGGTTGCTATGGGTTGTACTTGACTCAATGGCACCTAAAAACAACAACAAAAACTCAACTTTCAACCAAAAAAAATAGAAAGATCTACAAGTAAAACAAGCACAAGAGAGACACTCAGGATAATAATAATTTTTTAAAACCCATAAGATCGAAATTCCACATTTGTCCAAGGACAAAGTTCAGACAACGAGGAGGGAGAAGATAAAATAGGCAGTGGAAAGAATACAATTACACTGAGTATATTGTACTTAATGTCAGAAAAAAGCGTGTCTGGATCATTGAATTGAAAATGAATTAGCTTCATAAACTTTCAGTCAACTCATGATAAATTGAAGAAAAGTTAAGAGCATCCTGAGACCATCCCAAGCTGTGCTTGAAGAGGATGTGGCCGGGTCCCAGTTCCACACCAATACTGTACCTTACAAGGGGCCGCAGAGAAGTCTGGAGGCTGACTTTCATGTCCAGTGGGTAGGCACACTGGAAGTTGACGTTGAGCATGGTGTCTCTGATGATGAAGTCGCTGACCAAGGAGAGCTTGTTTTTGTAGATGGCATGGGTTTGATTTTTCTTTGGCAGAAAAAGAAAACCAGGTTTATGTTCACATTTGTGTGTGTGTGTCTGAAACTCAGGTCTTTCTGACTCTAGAATCAGCGCTATCAACCATCTGCCACCTGGCTCACCATGTCAAGGAGGGGCATGGAACCCCCTGCCTAGTGGCACTGACTCTTCAGAGGGAAGGGGGCCAGAGCTCCCTCATGGTCTCGTGGGTGAGGAGTTGCACTGCCAATACAAAGGCAGGCAGTTGGAATCCACCAAGTGCTCCATGGAAGAGAGTTGGGCAATCTCTTCCCAGGCAATTTATAGCCCCTGTAAACCAGCTGGAGGATCAGCTATGAGGTAGTTCCAATGCGAAGGCACACAGCAACAACAACTCTATTGGGAGGAAAGTTGGGACCTCGGGACAAAATCTCAAACAATAAATCGCTGCCCTAGAGAAGAGTCAGAAACCACTACACTTCACTGTTAACCTCTTACACACAAACACACACCCTGTAGAGTCTACACACAAACACACACCCTGTAGTGTCACACAATGTGATGGGTGAAGGGAGGGGTGGGTTAAGGAAATGAGAAGGATCTGGTGTAAAAAACAATGTCTACAAACTTTGTAAGTAAACCAGTATAAGATAAAAATTTTATATTAAAGAAAAAATTAATCATAATCATAGCTTACAGCTATTGAGCTCAAATGTCAGATCGATCCTAAACTCTTTGCATGGGCCATGTTTAATTTTACAAAATCTAGAAACCAAAAAGGTTAGATATTTGCACGGGTCTTAGAACTCCTATGTAAACAGCCCCCTTCCTGCCCTTTTGCCCATATTACTTGTAACACCGCCTACCTCCAGAATGTTCCCGCAGACGCCAGCCTGGACAGGGCTGGTGATGGACAACTGGTTCCTGTCCTCCCTTTGCATGATGGTGCTACAGTTCCGGTCCAGCAAGTAGGCAATGATGAACTCGCCCAAGCCCAGGTGTTCCAACAGACACCTGTCCAATGACACCCTGATCTCCTTGGCCCCGCAGTCTATCTGGGGCTTCAGACTCTGGACATCTGCAAAGCCAAGAGTAGAGTAAGTGGGACAGGCCCTAGAAGTGGCAAGAACTGGCATTTCTACCCTTTGGCAAAGCCACTGTGGCCACAAGGAGATGGATAAACTTGAAGGGGCCTGGGACCCAGATGAAATTTAAAGCTGGGCTGGTGGCTAGGGGAGGTTGGCAGGAAATCATGTGGAGGCTGCCTCAGGGATTCCATGCCTGGTTTCAGTTGGGGATCAGGATCTTTCCAGTCTCCACTCCACACTGGTTTCTAAGTTAGCCACGTATCACTCCTACATCCTGCTGCGTTGCCTGGCAACAGGTTCAGAGCTGTCCGATTTACTCACTGAAAGTTTATTACATAAACATGTCCTGAGGTTGTATTATCTGCCAGACACTGTTCTGACCATTAAGGGACATAGCACTTATCAAAAAGGACAAAATTCCACAAAGATGAAACTAATATACCAATAGAAATAGACTTAAGGACAATTAAAAAGAGAGCAAATAAAAATTCTAATTCATTGCCATTGACCCAGAACCAACTCATAGCTGACTCTCCAGTGGATTTTCAGAAGCTAAATTACACAGGAGTGCTCTCCCACTGAGCACTCTATGGATTTGAACCTCCTGCCTTTAGGCTGACAGCGCAACTCTTTACTCACTAGGCCACCATTCTGAGAGAAGAGACAGTAATAATAGAAGTACAATCTCATTCATTCATGGATGCTCCGATTCAGTATAAATTGATAATCACCTTCTCCATATGTTAGTCTTACTCAAAACAAGAAACAAACAAAGCTTGGATTATGCTTTTGCGGATTCCTGGGTCTTGTAAAAAAACCAAGGCCAGCAGCTTATTACAATTCAATATGCTGAAGTCCAGGAGCAGGGGTGACGGCTGTACCCAGAACAAAGAAGCACCTTCTGCTGGCTGAGTCAGGGGAAGACGCATAAGTTAGGAGTTCCACAGGTGAATAAAGGAAGTGAAGACATACCTGGTTCAGGGAGAAACAGGGCAAACCCACGGAGATGTGTACAAGAGGATGGTGGGTTTGCAAAAGCACAGAGAACACAGAACTCAGATGTACAGGAACTTAGAGTGGAAAGGACAGATCTGTGGGAGGCAGAGAGGTGGACAAAAGCTGGAGCATATAGGCACTGTCTGGAAACAAGGGGGGCCCAGGAAACAGTCACTGTCAACTAAGAGGGACTGCCAAGGATATTGGTCACAGGTGGGCTTCCTGAGGCTTTGACGTCTGAGGCTGAAGGCTCTGAGCTCTCCTTCACTCAGTGGGCTACTCCACAGACTAGAACACAAGCCTAGTCTCCTCAGAAAACAGAACATAGAAATTCCATATGACCCAGATATTCCACTGCTTGGAATATACCCAGAGAAAACGAAAACTGAGGCACAAACGAGGACTTGTACACAAATGTTCATAGCAGCGTTATTCACCATCGCAAGAACACGGAAACAGCCCAGATGTCCAACCACGAGTGAACGGATTGAGATATTATGGTACATTCACACAATGGAATGCTATGCAGCACACAGGAGCAATGATTTATTAAATTATCACCTAAGTTGGGAGGGACTGGAGAGCATTTAAGCTAAATGAACTAACTCTGTCCCGTAAGGACAAATACTGTATAAGACCATTACTGTAGAGCATGTATGAGGATCCAAGGGAGGGGGCAGGGGGAAGCAGAAGCGTGAGGATGGGCCAGGGGGTGGGTGGTGGTTAATCAGAGAATTGCACAATGTGATGGGTGGAGGGAGGGGTGGGTGAAGGAAATGGAAAAGATCCCGTATGAAAAACAATGTATATGAACTTCGTATGTAAATCGGTAAAAAATAAAGTTTGTTCTAAATTTTTTTTAAAAAAAGAGCCTTTCCGTATCCTTGACATGAAGGTTCTGTCCTCACACTGGTGAAGTTCCTGCCCTTAGTCTCTTTGACTGTCACTCACGGATCAAGCCTGTCCACCCCACAACCTAGGCTTCAACTACTGACTTCCTTTCTCTTCTGTCCCTGTCCTCCTCTCCTTGCAAACCCACTGGCTTCACCTCTTCTGAAATTGAGAGCCAAAGAGCCTGACCTTAACCTCAAGTCTTAATCACACCCTGTCCTGACCTTGCAAAGCTCCATCCTACCCCTCACCCCAGTCTCTGACCATCCAGGGAGGTAGGCTCAGAGGCAGCTCCCAGCACAAACCCTGTGCAGTCACTCACCAGAGCTGTTGAGGCCCCGTCTGCAGAAGCAACCCCAAGTACCGTTGTTGTTCAAGAGACACTCCTCTTCTGGGCGGCAGGACCCTTCACAATAGTCCTGCACAGGGGGCGGTTCTAGTCGCAGAAGAGAGGAACGTGGAAAGAGATCAGGACACAGAACCTGGCAGGACCTGATGCCACACCCAGTCCAACCTTGTCATTTCACCAAGGCCTAGAGGTCTTGCCCCTCAGGCAACAATTTGTGGAAGGGTCTAGCCTCAAAGTCAGGCTTTCTAACACCAAGTACAGTGAGTACCCCAAAGCTGCCACCTTAGTGATTGTTAACATGCCATGCGCTATTTTCAGTATTTCCCATGAGTTGACTTCATTCAAGCCTTGCTATAAACTATTCGTTTTGAGACAGTGTCACAAAGGGTTAGTACATAGGCCCTGAAGCTAGATGACCTGGATTCGAATCCCAGCTCTGTTAGATTCCACCACATTGGGTCATTTGGGGTGAGTGACTTAACCTCTCTGTACTCCAGATTCCTCATATGAGATACAAGAAATCCCATCTCATGAAGCTGATAATAAAACTAGTTAATACATCCAAAGTGCTTCAAAGAGTGGTGAGGCCACTGTAAGCATTGTAGGTTGGCTATAATTTTTTTTTTTCTTTTATGCCTTTGAGCTGTGATGCTGGAGAAGAGTGTAGAGGGTACCATGGACTTCTAGGAAAACAAACAGATACACCCTGGAGAGGGTTAAACCAGGCAGCTCCTTGGAAGCAAGGATTCTGAGGTTTTGTCTAACATACTTTGGACATGTTGTAAGGAGAGACCGGTCCTTAGAGAGGGACATCATGCTTGGGAGGGTGGAGGGAGAGTGCAGGAGGGGAAGGCCCTCTATGAGGTGGATTGATTCAGTGATTGGGGCAATCAGGATGGGAGTGTCGGAGACAGTGCAATTGGCACAGGACAGAGCAGAGTTTAGGGCTGTTGTACATAGGGTCGCTATGAGTCGCAAGCGGCTCGACGGCACATAACAACAACAACATTTTCCAGCTCAAAAATGACAGGCTCAGTGAGGGAAATGAAACCTCCCTCAATGGACCTGCAATCCAGAGCTGGAGTTTTTTAATAACATGATGAACATTAATGAATCAAATCTGGCTCTTTGCACTTCTGACGTTATTGAAATGCTGGAAGACCTACCAACTCTGGAACTGGGGTATTCTACATAATTTAACCTTGACCCACTTCACTCAAACTCTACTGATCCCTGGGCATTTCACAGGTTGGTCGCACCCTGGGGTTGTCCAGTGGGGGGCGGGAGGGGATGTCCCACTGCTCACCTGTGCAATATCTCAGATTACACACAGGTGTGCCATCTAAGCGGTACACGTAGTACCCTCCAGGGCAGCTCTTCACTGATATTTCTTGCCTCCAGAAGCAGCAGTTGGCACTCCAGTGGGCACAAGCAGTGCGGTTGACAATGCCGTCCGCAAGGAAGGGATGGCTGCCATTCAGCCACATGGGAGATGACGTCTGACACCGGTACACCGGGACACAGGTTTCTGGCATCCGGACTCCCCCATCACCCACAAAACGATACCAGCCTCGCAGGCCATTATCACACAGGTCCTCTACTACTTTATTCTCTGTGCTTCTGGAAGGTTCATCCAACAAGGTATAGTTCTGGCAGGGGTCAAAACAGTACTGGTCCTCACAAGACAAGCCCAGCTCATGTGACTTGTCTTGGTTAGAGTTCCCGCGACCTGGAAAAGTGATAGAATATGCGTGGGTTAACCCAACAACCCCAAAGTCTACCACACTTGGTCCTCTCACTAAATGGTATTTTGAGTACAGCGGAAAGAGAGAGAGAGAGAGAGAGCAGTTGGCCTAGCGGACATAAAGCCATGCTCCCAAGCCAGAGGTGGGTGACTCTACTCCGTGGCCCTCAGGCCTGCCTTTAATTGTGTCTGGTGAAACATTCTTCGAGGTTGTGTAACCCTGGTCTGTCCACTTGCTGTACAGAGGTAATTCACGGTCGCTGTGAAGCCAAACACTGTGACACGGAGGAGTCAAATGAGAGAATGGTTACCCATGGTGGACAGTGTTTAGTGGAGCTCCCCGAGTAAAACAAGCTCGGAAGCAGCAGTGGCATCCACTTCCATAAATAGCTTGCCTCTGGAAACCCTATGAACCTGAAGAAAGAATGAAAGCTATACAGGTGACCAGGACTTTCGTTCATAGGGTCGCTATGAGTCGCTTACGACTAGATGGCACTTAACAACAACAAAGGTCCCTGGAGCCTAGTGACAAGAAGCTGTGTGGCAATACCAAGGGCACACGGCTTGAGGCTACTGGCTGCTCCGCAGGAGAATGGGCCGTCTCCTCCTGTGAGATTAACTGCCTCTGAAATCTGGCCATAGGGTCAGCTATGGGTCGATTCCGACTCTACGGTACACAACAACAAACCCTGGAGAAGAGCACTAAATGTCCCACGGACTGCCAAAAGAATGGACAAACGTCTTAGAAAGAGTGCAACCAGGGTGCTCCTTAGAGGGGAAACTTCATCTCACATACTTTTGGCATGTTGTCAAACAGGACCAGACTTTGGAGAAAGACATTCTGCTCTGAAAAGTGGAAGGTCAGTGAAGGAAGGGAAGACCTTCAACAAGATGGACTGAAACAATGGACTGTAGTATGGCAGAGATGAGGAGGATGGCACAGGATAGAACAGGGTTCACATCTGATGTTCATAGTTGTTGATATGGTTGTTATGTGACATCAAGTCTCCTGTGACTCACAGCAACCCTATGTACAACAGCCCTGAAACCTGCTCTATCCTGAGCCAAGCTCATTGTCTCTGACACACCCACCCCGTTACCCCAATCCCTGAATCAATCCATCTCACCCTGGACCTTCCTCACTTTTGCTGTCCCTTCACCTTCCCGAGCATAGTGTCCCTCTCCAAAGACGGATTCCTCCTCGCTTCATGTCCAAAGTATGTCAGATGGAGCTTCAGAATCCTTGCCTCCAAGGAGCAGCCTGGTTTCACCCTCTCCAAGATGAGCCTGTTTGTTCTCTTCGCAGTTCATGGTATATTCAATACTCTTCTCTGTCACCACAGCTCAAAGGCATCAATTCTCCTTCTATCATCCCTTGCCATTGTCCAGCTTTCTGATACATGCACATAACTGCGAAAATCATGGTCTAGATCAGGCACACCTTAGTCTCCAGACTGATATCATTGCTCTTCAGTACTCTGGAGAGGTCCCTGACAGCAAACTTTCCCAGTGCAATTTGTCTTTTGATTTCCTGGCTGCTGGTACATCATGCTTGGAAAGGTAGCGGGTCAGCAAAAGAGAGGAAGAACCTCAACAAGATGGATTGACACAGTGAGACATGATGAGGATGGTGCAGGATAAGGCAGGACGCAGAGTTCCTGTTCATAGCATCCCTGTAAGTCCTGGGAGCACACAACGACACCAGAAATAGGGAGCTCTGGTGTCCTCATGATAAGAAGTTGCACTGCCAACCTGAAGGCCAGCGGTTCAAATTCACCAGCTGCTCCCTGGGAGAACGATCTCTTCCTGTGCGATTAACTATATCTGAAAACCCACTGGAGGGTGAGCAATGCGTTGGTTCTGACCCAACAGCATATAACAACAAGGAGAGAGAAGTGAGGGGCTAAAGCTCACGGACATTGGAGGTGGGCAGCTGGCTTTGGATCCAACCCCACAGCTGCTAGGAGAGTGGCCTTTGCAAAGGATTTGACTCCCTTAAAGCTCACGCACAGGACAATACCTGCAAGCGGAGCGCTCCGAACGTCACCAATCCCCATACTGTGCCTGGGCCTCCTTGGCTATTAGATTACTCAAAATCATTCTCTCTGGGTTTTTTTTGTGGGTTTTTTTTTTTTACAAAAAGTTTCCATTTTTATTACAAATCTTTTAAACAAGAATAATCAAGTTCTTTAATAAAATAATAACTAACCAAACAATAAATGTTAACGTCTAAATGACAGAGTTTTGTGCAATATCTGGCAAATATTTTTAAAAGCCATAGTTAAAATGGATTTAGAGAAAAAGTGAGAACACACCACAAACTTTTTATAATATAGGAAATGTAGAAATTTCAAGAAAGAAATAGATTGAGCAAAAAGAAATCAATATAGTAGAATAGGATGAAAAATTTATAATTGAACAACATTAATAATCAAACAAAGAAATATATCATACATGCATGGATCCAATAAAGAATGAGTGGGGCAAATGAAAGATAAAATTAGTTGAAAAGTAAATTATGAGAATAGAGTTAAAGTATTTGTGTGACTGTAACAAGAGAACTAAATTTCATTCATATCATTACTCTATTGAAATCAACCTAGAAAAAAATGTAACCTGAAAATATGCTTATAGAAGTCATGATGGTTAAGTCTTCAACTGTTTAGGAGTCAAACACCAACAAGGTGAAGGTGGTAATCAAATTATAAGCAGCATAAAGTCAAAGAGATTTACATCAATGTATATAATATTACTTAAGGAAAGAAGTCTGGTGGCCTATTGATAAGAGGCTACTCTACCAATCCAAAGGCACAAGTTTCAAATCCACCAGCTGTTCCCTGGAGAAAGACAGACACTCTCCTCCCATGAACTTTACAACCTCTGAAAACCAGTGGAGGGCCAACTATTAGTGATTCACTTTGAAAATGTTTTATCCTAAGAAATATCTGAGAAACTGCAAGTATGAAGTACTTATATTCTTCCCTTTCTTGTTCTTATTATGTTGTTTGTGTTGGTGTGTTGTTGTTTTTTTTGTTTTTTTATTTGGAACTGACTCACAGCTGACCCTCCAGTGAGCTTTCAAAGACTGTAAATTGGATAGAGATTGCCTTTCTCCCATGGAACAGCTGGTGATGCTATTTTCCTTTGCATATGAAAATAACAATATATAGACATTAGATTTTTTTTTTAAAAAGTTAACTCATGCGTCGCTAGAGTTATCTTAGGAAACATGTGTCTCATTTGGAGAAATATGATCTTAAAGGATTACTATAGGCTGACCATCCATCTCCCACAGAGCTGCTGGTGGATTTGAACCATATATCTTTATGTTGGCAGCGCAATTCCTTACCACCAAACCAACAGAGCTCCATAAATGAGGGAGTATTTCTGAAACGGGACTCAGAGAGCCTGGGTGATAGTAGAGATGCTAGCTAGTTCTCTTTTCCAGCTCTGGTTTGTTGAAAGGGAGTGGGTACCTGAGTAGTGATGTGAGTCCACAGATTTGGTAACAAAGAGTAAGAAAATCCATAGAGACAGAAAGCAGATTTGTGGTTGACAGAGGCAGTTGGGGGAAAGGGCAAAGAGAGGGTGTACTCCTAATGGGTACAAGGTTTCTGTCTGGAGTGATGGGAAAGTTCCAGAACCAAATAGTAGTGATGGAGGCACTATATTGCCACTGTGCCTAGTGCCATGGAACTGTAGACTTTAAAATAATTAAAAGGAAAAGTTTTATGTTAGATATATATAGATATAGAGTTAGAGACAGAGACAGAGATAGAGATAATCTCACAATAATAAAGTTGTCAAGCCTTCCTCAGCTATACGAATGCTTCAAGGATTTGAGTTGTCAGCAGCTGTTGACCTTGAAAAATTTCCTACACACCCTGTACTTTCCCACTAGAGGCCATGAACTCAAGCACTCAACCCACCCCCAGCCAATGGGACAGGTGACATGGGCAGATACTTTCCCCGTGGGGGTCAAGCCTGAGAACACTTTGTATAAGCATCTAAGAAGCCCAAATGCCAGAACTATGGGAGCGCCCTAGAGTGGTCATACAATCTAGAGCTTTCATTTTAAGGGGGAAAATACCAGCTTTTATGTAAATGAGAAGCGCCTTCTTCTTCTTTTTTTTTTTTTTTTTAGCTCAGACTGAGAAGCACCTTCTAAAACAAGGGCAAACCAGTAATTCAGTGGCCAAGAGAGGAATGCTTCTGACTCTCAGTCCTTCACTGTCTGAAACAATCCATTTGTTAATCTTCTCCAACAGGGGCTCCCCAATCTCCCCTACATCTCAGCAGAGGAGTTATAAAATCTGCTCTCATTGCCCATTATGGGGGAAAGGATGCACTTTTTGAGGCATTATTGTTATTACGTTGTTGTTATGTGCCATCAAGTTGCCTATGACTCATAGCGACCCTATATACAGCAGCTCTGAAGTCTGCCCTGTCCTGAGCCAGAGTCACTGACTCCAGCACACCTGCCTCCATGGCCCCAGATACTGCATTAATACATTTCACCCGAGGTCTTCCTCTCCTGCGCTGTCCCTCCACCCTTCCAAGCATGATATCCTTCTCCAAGGACCGATCCCTCCTGGCCACATGCTCAAAGGCGTTATTACTTGATTCCAATTCCTACCACTATATTCCTTTGGACCGCCAGCTTCTCAGTCTTTGCATTAGACAGGTTCCCTTCTTTCACTAACATTTAACCTCCCTCTCTTACCTCCCCACACACTCCGTAATCCTCGCTGGGCACCTGAGATGCCCCACAGAGGAGCACTCACCTTGCTGCTCTGCAGATGCCAAGGTCAGAATGCAGGAGGTGAAGGCCAGCCACAGGAGACCAGAGCTCGCCATCCTCAACAAATGCTGAGGGGAAGGAGTTGTCCAGCCCCTGAGCAGATGCTCTGAAGCCAAGACCACTTAGGACGTAGGTGTTGATCTCTAAGTGCATAAGCAAAAAGAGAATTCACATCAGTACATCCTTTACCTCATAAACTTCCTACATACATTACACCTTATCTACAGCTCTCTGATAACATATCCATAATCATAAATATTCATACTTATAAGCAAAGCAGGGAGCTCTAGTGGCCTAGTGGTAAGGAGCTGTGCTGCCAACCCCAAGGCATGCAGTTCAAATCTACCAGCTGCTCCACGAGGTAAAAAAAGAACAGGCAATCTCGTCCTGTGGGACTTACTGCCCCTGCCAACCTGCTGGAGGGTCAGCTATGACTGGATGGTACATAAATAAGACCGTGAGGCAAGCAGGGAGCTCTGGTGGCTTAGTCCAATAGCAAGCTGTTACCGCTAATTCAAAACAGTCCTCTGTGGCAGTTCAACTCCAACAGCAACCCCAAAGGTGAAAGATGGGTGACTTACAGCCTCAGAAAATCACAAGAGCATCAGCTATGAGTCAGTTCTGCAATAAACTTTGAGTGTAAAGGAAGCTCTATTCTTGTTCCCCCTTTTAAAATTAAAATGCTGAGACTAGGAGAACAGTCATAAAAAAAAAAAATTACTGAAGCTCTCCTCCGTGCAAGTACTGTGCTAAAAGTTAAACAGATTGCTTAAAGTCCCAGGTCCTTGTTCTCAGAAAACTTGATGTTGTTCCTTAATGGCTGTATTGTGTTAAAGCAGGTGTGACTTTGGAAAAAGGAGTGGGGGTGGTGGGGGTGATGGAGTAGGAGACTGGCCCAAGGGGTAAAGTTGACAGCAAGAAAACAAAAGGCAAGCTTGGAGAGCTCAGGTCCCCAGAAACGTTCTGGGAGGATTCTCAGGTGGGGTCCTGGTTGAGTTTAAAGGGTTAAAGTAGACGTTTTCTGCGTAGTAGATGGAGGGAGAGGATCAGAGAGCCTGTAAACACTTCCAGACAAAAAATGATGGCTGTCTTTTCAAAAATTCTATGCATCAGGCACAAAATACACTGGAAACGGTTGTATTGACATAACGACTGACATAATCCCAGTGCAACCAGAAGGATGTGCACATTTCCACGCGGTGCGATTATGTCAGTTGTTCTCAGCACAGTACTGGCAGAACCATCACTGCTCAATAAAACTGATGGGTGATCAAATAAAGGCAAGGTAGGGGAACAATGAAAATTTCCCATACTCAAATCATACACAGTTTGGGGAACCTGTTTCCCAGGATGAGCATATTTTAAGGAGACTTCTTACAGGCTCTGGAAGATACCAGTTGGGAATTAGAGCTGCTTCTGGAAGGAGTACCATGAATATGTTACCAGAACGCAGGGGCAAGTTAGCACCCAGCCCTGGTACCTCAAGAAATCTCAAGTGGATTCCTATCTTCTTGAATGAGACATGATACCTGTGCGATCAGACCTGCTACAGGCAGCAGGCATCCGGAATCAAGGATGAAACTGCATCTGTCTGGAGCATTTGATAATGTCCAGGGGTCAAATCCCTTACTTGACCCTGAACGTTTCCAGAAACAAACAAGACCAGCAAGTCAACTGGGTCAAGGGAGGGAGCCCCTTAGGAGAAAAGTCTACAGGGACAATGGAGCAGGACTTACCTGAGAGTGAGGTCACGGAGCGTGGGAAGATAGAGCCCTCCGGTCAGCTACGGGTAAGCGAACCTGCTGAGGGCTGTCCTTTTATTGAAAGCTCCCACCCATGTGGCTCTCTACAATTGGTGCTGAGGTCTAACTGGAGTTCATCCGGGAGCCATACCCCAAGCTTGTTAGGTATGGTGAGATAAGCATTTTACTGCAAAGAATGATGAAAGAAGGGCCCTTTGCCACCGCCACTCCAAAGTAAACCCTCTCAGCAGTCTTGGCTCTTCCAAATTTCCCCTAAGAACAATGGCAATATGTACTGAGTGCCAACCACATTGATCACTGGTGACCGCTTTGCCTCTGTCACTTCTCATGCTTAACCCTGACAATAAGCCAAGGAAGCTGGTACAATATTTACAACCAGAAACAAAACACTAATCAGAAAGAAGCGTGATATACAAAGGGAAGTAGAGAGAAATCAGACACTTGTTTGCACAATAGATTTCCAATCGTACCCTGTGTTCTTGGCTAATCACCTTGGAACACTCCTGCTTCTGTTGGGAGGCCGCTTAAGTTGGGAATAGATTGAGCCAGGGAGCAAATAAATAAAAGGGGTGTGGGGAATGACTATCTCCTGCATTTTATCCAAAAGGAAAAGGTTCAAACTAGAGGCATGCATGTCAGAAGTAGAAATGACTGAGCCCAAATGCATTTCCACATGCACTCAGGAAGGTTGCCGACATGCACTCAGGAAGACTGTACCAAGATGGAAGCAATTTCTCCCTCCAGGGGAGAGGAATACTTTAATGACAACAATCAAGTATGACGTAACCAGTTGGTATCATTTACCTGAGAATAGCTTCTCCCTCCCCAGCGAAGCAGTCAACTTTTACCTTTACATTTCAAAGGATTTCAGGCTAAAGCTGCATTTATCAGTAAGCAATCATCACTGACTCTTCCCTTATCTCCGTTCTCTAGGTGTGTAGACCCCTCTCTACTTTGAATATTCAATCAATGCCTTTGAACTGTGGTGTTGGCAAAGAGTACTGAGTATTCCATGGGCTGCAAAAAGAATAAACAAATAGTGTCTTAACCAGGATGCTCCTTAGAGACCTGGATAGAGAAACTTCATCTCGCTTACTTTGATATTTTTTAGGAGGAGCCGGTTCTTAGGGAAAGATACACATCATGCTAAGAAAGGCAGAGAGTCAGTGAAAGAGAGGAAGACCTTGAACAAGATGGATTGTCATGGCGACCACCACAATGGGCTTGCGCAGGGCTGAGATCCTGAGAATGGTGCAGGATAGGATGCAATCCAGACCTGTTGTTTATAGGGTCATTGTAAGTCAGGGTTGACTTGATGATAGTTAACAACAGCTCCCTTGAATGTTGAGTCCTTTTATTTATTTCTTTTTTTCTCCAATAAACTCATAACAGAGTATGAGATTTCTTCTTTGGCACAATCTGCATGATTTTAAATACTTAATGTTGAGAAGTCTTGACAATGGTTGGGTGGGTGGTGGTAAATTACGAGTAGCAATGACTAAGGATTACAGAAAGAGAATTGATGACTTTGAATTGTGGTGCTGGAGAAGAGTCTTGAGCATACCATGGACTGCCAAGAAAACAAATAGGTCTGTCTTGAAGAGGGTAAAACCAAGTTTCTTCTTGGACGCTAGGATTTTGAAGCTCCATCTCACATACTCTGGGCACGTAGCCAGGAGGAACCTGTCCTTGAAGAAGGACATCATGCTTGGAAAGGTGGAGGGACAGCACAGGAGAGGAAGACCCTGGATGAGATGGATTGACATGGTAACTGGGGCAATGGGATTGGGTGTGTCAGAGTCAGTGAGACTGGCTCAGGACAGGGCAGGCTTCAGAGCTGCTGTACACAGGGTGACTGTCAGTCACAGAGGACTCATGGCACATAACAACAACAAGGTCTTGATAAAGTCTGATCATATTCTGATAAGGCAACAGGATGACCACATCCTGATAAGGCCCTGGGCCTGATGACATCAGGACAGGACTCCTGCCCCTAACTTCCTGAACAACCTCCTATCCCCTCTCAATCTCCTTAATGGATCCTATGAAAAGAAACTGTTTTTGTCTGCCTGCACTCCATTTTGATCTTTGTGCACGGTCACCTAGGTCCCTCTCAGGTCTATTCTTTACTTGGGACCAGCTTCTTCCTCTTCTCTCTCTCAGCTCTCTAACAAGAACCATTCATTAAGACAGATGATATACAATGAGGAGATTTAGGGGAATTGATGAGTTTAGAAGTCTGTCTGACTCAAGCATCTCAACCCAAGTAAAGCAGTCCAGCAGGAATTGTGTAGTTGGATTTGAAGTTGAGGGAAGTAGTCAAGGCTGAAGATACGTATTTGGAATTCCTCGGCAGATGGATGGTACTTAGAATGCTGAAATAATTTGGTATCTCCCAGGGAGAGTTCAAGGAGTGATAAGAACAGTGCAGTTTATTGGGATTTTTATGGCTAGATGGAGGAAGCGAATCATATAAAGGGAAAGTGTTGAATGGATAGAGGCCAATCAGGAAGATACTATCACCTGAAAGAAGTAAGCTCAGAGGGTGGGAGGCAGGGTTGGGTGGAGTGGCAGAAGTGAATGCAGTGGCAAGAGAATTGAAGGGGAAATCCACATAACTCCCCCTGAGGGGACTTAACATAGATTTATTTGGTTGGTATATTGTTGTGTATCATGAGTCAGAACTGACCCCCAGCTGAAAACCTCCAGCAAGTCTGCAATATGAATTGAAGCTCAATATCAGGAAAACAAAGATTCTCTCCACCAGGCCTATTGGCAGCATTGTGATAGATGGAGAAGAGGTTGAGATTATTAACAATTTCAGCTTGCTTGGTTCCACAACCAACAATATTGGAGTTCAGGAAATCAAAAGGAGCCTAGTTGCATTAGGAAAATCTACTGTCAGGGACCTCTGCAGAGTGCTAAAGAGCAAAATGATGTCAGTCTAGAGACTTAGGTGCACCTGATCCAGTCCATGGTCTTTGCAATTATTTGCTATGCATCAGAGAGCTGGACAATGACCAGAGATGACAGAAGAATAATTGATCCCTTTGATTTGTGGTGCTGGAGAAGAGTATTGAACATTTTATGAACCACCAAGAGAACTAACGGGTCTGTCCTGGAGAGGTTGAAGCCAAGCTCTTCCTTGGTGGCAAGGATTTTGAGGCTCCATCTCACATACTTTGGGCATGTTGCCAGGAGATACCAGTACTTGGAGAAGGACATCATGCTTGGAAGGATGGAGGGACAACACGGGAGAGGAAGACCCTGAATGAGTTGTATCAACACAGTAACTGGGGTCATGAAAGTCATTATTTCGGAGACAGTGGGATGGGCCCAGGATAGAGCAAGATTCAGAGCTATTGTGCACAGAGTCACTATGAATCATGGTCGACTTGATAGCACTTAACAACAACAAATCGTAGTGGACCTTCTCCTGTAGAGCAGCTGGTGGATTTGAACCATGTACCTTTTCACAGGCAGCACAATTCATTACCACTAAGACACCAGGAGTGTAAAAAAAAAAAAAAATAGAAAGCTTAGATCATCAGAGGTTGTGAAGGAAGAAGAAAATAGACATGGATGCTGTTTTATGTAGGGGAAAGAAACAAAGGTTTAGAGAGATCACAGTGTGATGGTCTGCAATTTCTTGAAGGAGATTTTAAGATACCTGCTGAGTCTGGTGCTGAGGTGTAATGAGAGTGGCCACTGGAGAGGCTGGAGGCACCAAACATTTACCCACATCTTATTAGTTATCCTTTTATTTTTATAATAATGGTCTTATACAATATTTGTCCTTATGAGATGGAGTTAATTCACTCAGCATAATGCCCTCTAGACTCTCCCATATTATAATCTACACAGTCGTTGCTCCTCAGTGCTGTATAGTATTCCATTGTGTGGATGTACCATAATATGGAAAGGGGGAGGAAAAGGGGAAGAATGTAAAACACTGGGATAACAGAGTTTAATGGATCGAATGGGGGAATAGGGGAGATAATGGGAAAGATTCAATAGGGACTTGAAAAATGGTTAATAATAGGCATGTTGTTGTTATGTGATATAAGGTCACTTGTGACTCTTAGTGACTCTATGTCCAAAACCCTGCTCTATCCTGAACCAGTTTCACTGACTTCAATACACCTAATCTCATTGCCCCAGTTATTATGTCAATTCATCTCATCCAGGGTCTTCCTCTCCTGTGCTGTCCCTCCACCCTTCCAAGCATGATGTCATTCTCCAAGGTCTGGTCCCTCTTTGGCCACATGCCCAAAGTATGTAAGATGGAACTTCATTATCCTTGCCTCCAAGGAACAGCCTGGCTTCACCGTCTGCAGCAGAGACCGATTTGTTCTCCTGCAAGTCCATGATATGTTCAATACTCTTCTCCAGTGCCACAACTCTTCACTCATCCTTAGTCACTGTCCAGCTTTCTGATACATAGCCTGTATTTGCAAAGGACATGGCCTGGATCAGGCAGACCTTAGTCATGTGATTAACTGTCTCTGAAAGCCCTCCAGAGGGTCAGCGATGGATTGGTTCTGATTCAATAGTAAACACCACCAGCACCACCACCACCACACACATTATAGATGTACTTGGGGGAAAGTATGGCATTGAATCTGTGCTCAAAATACTTATTGAATCTTTTGAGCTGAATAACTTATTAATATAAAACAAGAGACATAAATTTAAAACAAGAATGGAGAGTGGGAAGAAACAAAACGACTGGAAAGGAACAGAAGGACAAAATGTTTAATTCAGACGTGTTTCCTTCCCCCAGCTCTTGAGTTCTGCCCGTTCTTATTTCCAACAGTCCAGACGTCTCCTTCATGATCTGTTGTATGACAGTCACACGTAGCCCACCTCGGCCCAGCTGCCATGATCTGAGCATAGGCAGGGCTAAGATCAACACCACAGTCCTCCTACATAAAGAAGACTCTTCTATAACAGCAAGTATGCATATTCGTAGTGTGCACCTGCCGGTGATAAAATACCTTTTAATCAAAGAGACATTCCTCACAGCCCCCAGGCTTATACACAGGTGTGTGCTTCCCTGGATTCGGAAAGTTCTAACAATTCAACAGGACCTGGGCCTTTCCTGGAACACCACAGCTGTAGTTCCAGGAAGGAGCTGGCACCAGGACAGAAAGGTCCATAAACATTGACTTTCTTCTACCTTCCGAGAGTAACAGTCCAGTCACCTGTGCAGATGAGCTCCCTCGACCCAGCAATTTTCTGGCTGTGCCCTGGGAGCCCCCCCCCCCCCGGAGGCACCTCTTTGCAAACAACCCCTCCAAGTGGGAGTCCCAGGCTCACGCTTCATTGACGATGGGGTCCTGGAAACAACAGATATGCATCCTAGGAATTGAAATGAAGCTATAGAATGAGTAGCAGGACTCCCGAGGACATGCTCTCCTTTAGACACTGCCTGTTAAGGATCATGATCCAGGAGCGGCACGTGGCTCACCTGCTGATGTTTCCCCAGCACCTAGCGCAGAGAGTGCCTGGCACAAGGTTGTGAATGATAGAATTCATAAAGTTCAGGGTTGCTTTTCATTCATATTATATAATACAAACACAGTTAAATAAAATTGAAGCCTTGTACCCTGCTGATTCTACTTAAGATCCCCTCGACTTGGATTTGTAAATTAGCTAAAGTCACAAATTGTCCTGCACAAACCATTCAAACCGCCACTATGATCTTATATCCTAATATTACTGTTTAGAGAAACAAGGGAAAATTCCAGGTGTAGACAAAAAGCACTGTCTCAAGGACAGCAGACAGTCACTTCTTTAAGCCATAAAAAACAAACAAACAAAAGAAAACACAGAACAATGCAGCAAATAGGCTGGGATCTGAATACTGTCTTAGTAGATTAAAAACAAAAGCACCATGTGGTAAACTGTTAAGCACTGTCTTAGTAAGATACCAGTTATCTCTCAAGATAGGAAAAACCATGTAACTCTGGATTCAAAATAATGAAATGTGAAGCAGATTAATAACTTACTCCAGTACAAAGCCCCTGTTGTTGTTGTTGTTTTATGTGCCATCAGTCTCTTGCGACTCATAGTGACCCTATGTACAAGAGTCCTAAACGTCATTCTATCCTGTGCCAACCTTGCTGTCTCAAACACACTCATTCTCACCACTCCACTCACAGAACTGATTCATCTCGAGGGTCTTCCTCTCCTGCGCCATCCCTCCACTCTCCCAAACATGATGTCCCTCTCCAAGGACCAGTCCCTCCTTGCAACATGACCAAAGTATGTCAGACGAAGCTTCAGAATCCTTGACTCCAAGGAGCATTCTGGCTTCACCTTCTCCAGGACAAACCTGTTTTTCTTCTCCTAGCAGTCCATGGTATATTCAACACTCTTCTCCAGCACCACAGCTCAAAGGCATCAATTCTATCATCCCTATTCACTGTCCAACTCTCTGATGCATAGCATGTAATTGCAGACTATAGCCTGGATCAGGCACACCTTAGTCTCCAGCCTGACATTGTTGCTCTTCAGTAGTCTTGAGATGTCCCTCACAGCCAACTTTCCCAATGCAATTCATCTCCTCATTTCCCGGCTGCTGTTACCAAGAGTGTTGATTGTGGAGCCAAGCAAACTAAAACTGTTAACTATCTCAATTTCTTCACCATCCAGATGCTGCCAATTGGCCCAGTGGTGAGAATCTTTGTTTTCTTGATGTTGATCTTCAGTCCATATGGGAGGCTGTAGTCCTTGATCTTCTGCAGCAAGCACTTCAGGTCCTCCTCAGTTTCAGCAAGCAGGGTTGTGTCATCTGCATAACACAGGTTGTTGATGATTCTTCCACCAATCCTGATGCCACATTCCTCCTCATACAGCCTAGCATCTTGGATGATCTGTTCTGCATACAGATTGAAAAGGTATGGAGACAAAATACATTCCTGACAGACCCCTTTCTTGATTTTGAACTGTCCAGTATCTCCCTGCTCTGTTCTGACGACTGCCTCTTTGTACAAGTATAGGTTTCACATTAGCACAATCAAATGTTCTGGGATTCCCATTCTTCTCAGAGTCAGCCATAGCTTGTTGTGACCCACACAGTCAAAAGCCTTTGCATAGTCAATGAAGCACAGAATAGACGTTCTTCTGGTATTCTCTGCTTTCTGCCAAGATCCATCTACCATTAGCCCCTACCCACCTGGAAATTAATTAGCAAGGCAGGTTTGGAGAATGAGCTCGCTGACTTCCAGGTCTGTTAATAAACTACATGTTGCTATTGTTATTGTGTGCTATCAGGTCGGAACCAACCCACTGATGACCCTGCGGTGGGGTATTAGGCCCACACAGGAGACTCTCCACCCCTCTCCAATGGAGCTGCTGGTGGATTTGAACTGCATGCCTTCAGGATTGCAGCAGCATTTATCCCTAGGCCACCACAGCTCCTTAAAGTGCGTAAGAAGTAGCAATTCTGTGTAGTCATTTCTCTCTAACTCATGATTGTGCAAAGGTCCCTTTGTCCAATAACAGCTCATGCTTAGGAGATACTTGCTAAGTGAATGAGTGAACACAGTGTCTATTTTAAGGTCACCCAGCAGAACCAGGCTCTGATCAGATTATGAATTCTTTAAAAGGACAGGCAGGGTCTGGCTGTTCTCACTGCAGGCCTCAGATCTATGAGCAGTGCCTGTAAAAAGAAACATTTGTTGGCTAAGTGAACAAATAAATGACTTCAAAGACTGGACTTTTTAGCAAATTATTATTGTTCTATTCTTTTCTTTTTAAAGAGATCATGCATCAAAATGTCACAAGTCTCATTTTGACATAAAGGGCAGCAATTAAAGACACCAGCAATCTTTCAACAGCTTGAAGGAAATTAAAGCAAGCAGCTGGAAGTGTGAGCTTCTTTTTCTGTGGCTGGGTCACCCCAGGCTTCACGAGCCCATCCGTGTGGCCAGCAGGAGGAGAGCCCAAGCTGCAGATCTCGGCATTTCCAGCACTGGATCACTGAGACATCAGGGTCAAAATCGCTGACAGGAACAGGAGTAGCCATGATTTCACAAGTCCTGAAGAGAAAGTTATTAAAGGGCTGGTGCAACATGGAAACAGTCCAAATGTCCAACCACAGCCGAATGGATTGAGAAACTGTGGTACATTCACACGATGGCATATTAAGCAGAATGCAGGAGCAATGATTTCAAAAATTACTATAAAACTTGGGAGGGCCTGAAGAACATTATGCTAAGTGAACTAACTCAGTCCTATAAAGACAAATACTTTATAATACCATTATTGCAGAAATAGAAATATAACTATAACTAGTAAAACATATATAATGATCCAAGGGGGGGGAGTGGAGCAGGGAGCTGAGGATGGGCAGGGGGCTAATCATAGGGTCGCACAATTTGACAAGTAGAGGGAGGAGTGGGCAAAGGAAATTAGAAAGATCCAGTGTGAAAAACAATGTATATGAACTTTGTAAGCAAACCAGTATAAAATAAAAATTTTATTTTAAAAAAAACAACAACAACAACAACAAAAATAAAGGGATATTGCAGGCACAGATGTAACTTCATGCAGATTAAAACAAAAAAGGTTCCTCCAGACTGACAAGTTAGAAAAAAGGCACTCTTTTGGAGCTAACAAAATAGAAAAAGTAAGCTCCTTCCTGCCCTGCCCTGAAGACCAATTAGGAAAAGGTGCCTTCCAAGGTGGACCAATCAGAAAAAGGTGGCCACTCCTCTGGCAGTAGACATGGTTCAGCAGAGCACTCTTGTGCAAGAGTCAACCAACTCAGCCACATTTGTTGACTCCGGGGGTTAGGGTACTCCAACTCTTCTGCTCCAAGCTCATCCATACAGTGCTGGACTGTTGTTGCTATGTGCCATCAAGTCGCCTGTGACTCAGAGTGACCCTATGTACAACAGCCCCTAACTCTGCCCTATCCTGTGCCAATCGCACTGTCTCTGACACACCCACCCCCATATAATGCCCGTCTTTGACCCCGGAGCCAAATGGGGAACAGTTGTATGGATTCACTTTCATTCAAATTTCCAGACAAGTCACTGGCCATAAAAATGCAGGGCTGTAACAATTCCACAAAGAAAAAAATCCCACAAAAAAACCCCACCAAAACCCCCAAACTGAAACAAAACAACAATTCCCTGCTTTTGGGGTAGGAGAGGCAAAGAAGCAGGGAAGTAAGATTTCCTGTCTTACTGTTGTACCCACCTGGCACAAAGCATGGAGCCTGCAATAGAGAAGGTAGGTTCCTAACAAATATTTGCACCTAATGAATGAAGAGGGTGGTGGTAACAAATGTCAAAGCTGCAGCTGGTGTTCAAGATGCAGGTCTGGGACCCATTAATGCCCATTTGCACACTGAGTGTTAGTGAGGATGTGCACATCTGTACAGGCACACACGCACACGAGGAGATGTTTCTACCTGTGTGTGCAGCTATCACGTGCGTGTGACCTCATGTGTATGTGAGCAAATTAATCTGGATGAACGATGGCTGTGCGTGTGTAACCTCAGATCCACGTTTTCCCAAAGATACCCAAGATCAAGATCGAGATCAAGGCCTGAGGACCGTCAAGGCCCTACACTTACCTAAGTGGCTGGGAGCAGCCTTGGACACTGTGACCTGGACATCTATGGAGTAAACAGAAGGATCAGTATAAGGACAGTTGCCTGGAGATGGCCTGAGGTTGCCTGGGAAAGCTTGGGGAAGCACCATCAATCTGCTCTTTGCTGTGCACCTAGCGTGATCTTTTCAAAACCCAGTCCGATCATGTCACTTCCCTGCTCTAGACCAGTGTCTAGGTCAGTGTCTGCAGGAACAAGGTGCAAAACCTTAAGCAAGAGACTAAGGGGGTCCATGTGGTCTGGCCCTATTACACAAGCTCATCCTGCACATCCTGTCTGTCTAGTTCCTGGCCTCTCTCAGTCTAACAGACTATGTTCCCAGTTATTCAGACCCCAGGCAGATCCCAAGGGCCAGACTCTGTTATCTCCCCTCATCCCCAGAGAACATTCCCCACCAGAGTCAGAAGGGGAAGAACGGCTCTCTTACCTCTCCGAGCGATGGGACCCAAGTTCAGGACATGGGCTTGGTCTACAATGTCCCCGCTGTGCAACCTGGTCCCAGAGCAGGTCTGCAGAGAGAAGGCAGGAGAGCAAAGCTTTGGGAGGGAACCTGGAAGTGGTCAGCTATGGAGTGGGCAGGGTATCCTAGGGACTTTCTTCTGCCTCAGGCTGTGGTTTGAGAGCGGTATGGACAGTATGGGAAAGTGGTTCAGAGATTTCAACATCTGCATTAATACCTCCCAGCTCTGCCATTTTTTGCATGTCGCAGGCACGTCATTAAAGCTGAGTCTGTCTCTCCAAACAGAAAGCAGGTCTAGTAATACCTTCCTTGTCATTGTTGTTGTTGTGTGTACCATCAAGTCAGAACTCACAGCTGATCCTCCAGCAGGTTTTCAGAGGCAGTAAATCTCATTGGAGAAGACTGTCCATCTTTCTCCTTCAGAGCAGCTGGTGGATTCGAACCATGTACCCTTAGGTTGGCAGCGCAGTTTCTTAGCACTAAGCCACTAGAGCTCCCTCTTGCTTATTTGTTGCCAATAATTTGATTGGAACTCATGAAGAGCCCATGGGTTTCAGATTGTTGTTGTTGACTGCTGTTGAGTCGAGCACAACTCATAGTGACCCTATGAACAAAAGACCTAAAGCCTTTCTATACCTACTGCCATTTCTCAAAGTTCAGTTTCCAGAGGCATGTTGTTTAGGAAGTGGGTGCCACTCCTGCTTCCAAGGTGTCAAGCCAGAACTGTGTTCTATCAGACTTTGAATAACTACTGGAGGTTTTTCCTCACAGAGTAGGTGTCCAGTGTTCTTCTCTAAGGTGCTTCTGCATGGATTCAAACTGCTAACCATGTTCACAGAAGTCACGTGCATAAGCATTTGTATGACCTAAATCCCCACACAGCCTCACAGAGACCCTCTGAGGCTACAAATCTTGACAGGAGTCTGTTCGTCTCTCTCTCTCATGGAATATCTAATATCTGGTGGATTGAACTGCTGACCTTCCACTTAGCGACCCAATGAAATGCACCATCCACTAGGACTCTTCTCTGTGCCATTGAGGGACATCTGTTTTCAGTTGCTTCATATGTATGTGAAAACTGGACCATGACTGAGGCAAGCCACGAAAGAACTGATGTCTTTGAACAATGGTGTTGGCAAAGCATAGAATATACCACAGAACTGCCAAAAGAACACACAAAGCTTGCTTTGGAGGATGTGCAGCCAGAGTGAGAAACAAAGCTTGTGAGACTTTGCCGCACATACTCTGGGCATGCTGGCAGGAGGGACCAGACCTTGGAAAAGGACGCCACGCTGAGAAAGGTGGAGGGCCGGCGAAGAAAAGGAAGACCTCAACAAGATGGACTGGTACAGTGCCTGGAATAATGTGCACAACAGATAGATATTGTTGTTGTTGTTGTTGTACCGTCAAGTTGCTTGCGACTCACAGCGACCCTATGTACAACAGCTCTAAACTCTGCTCTGTCGTGTGCCAATCTCATGGTCTCTGACACACTCATCACAATTGCCCCAGTCACCGAATCAATCCATCTCCTAGAGGGCCTTCCCCTCCTGCGCATGCACTCCACCCTCCCAAGTATGATGTCCCTCTCCAAGGACCTGTCTCTCCTTACAACATGACCAAAGTATGGCAGACGAAGCCCCAGAATCCTTGCCTCCAAGGAGCAGCCCGATTTAACCCTCTCCAGGATGAATCGGTTTGTTTTCTTAGCAGTCCAGGGTACATTCAATACTCTTCTCCAGCACCACAGCTCAAAGGCACCAATTCTCTTTCTATCCTCCCTAGTCATTGTCCAATTCTCTGATGCATAACAAGTGATTGCAAAGACCATGACCTGTACCAGACACACCTTAGTCTCCAGAGACACACCGTTGCTCTTGAGTACTTTAGAGAGGTCCCTAACAGCAGACTTTCCCATGGCAATACGTCTTTTCATTTCCTGTCTGCTGGTGCCAAGAGTGTTGATTGTGGAGCCAAGCAGACTAAAGCTGTGAACAATCTCAATCTCTTCACCATCCATCCTGATGCTGCCAATTGGTCCAGTGGTGAGAATCTTTGTCTTCTTTACATTGAGCCTCAGTCCATATTGAAGACTGCAGTCCTTGACCCTCAGCAACAAGCACTTCAGGTCCTCCTCAGTTTCAGCAAGCAGGGTTGTGTCATCTGCATAATGCAGACTGTTGATAGATCTAGATAGATAGATGAGATGATAGAGAGATGGAGATAGAGATAGAGAGATGGTGATAGAGAGAGGAAGAGATATAGATATACATGGAGAGAAATACAGAGAGAGAGAGAGATGGAGATAGAGGAATAGATATAGATGGAGAGAGATAGAGATAGATGGAGCTAGAGACAGAGATAGATGGAGATAGAGAAAGAGATGGAGATAGTGAGATACACACACACACACACACACACACACACACACACACAATGCCAAGACAAACTGTACAACCCAAGTTACAAAGTGTGAGGTATAAATATGACTTTACAATTTTCTTTAGATCCCTGGGAAAATACATGAAAAATATGACTGGCTGGGGGAAACGTTTAGCTCTCCTTTGCTTATTGAAAGGCTGGCAGTTCAAATCCATCCCCCAGCACTATTCTGCCACAGGTTTGTCATTGTTATTGTTGGGTGCCATCAACACAACAGAGATTTTGATTGAGGATGGCACAGGACACGGCAGGGTTTCAATCTGCTGTACATAGAGCTGCTGTAAGTTGGAGGTGACTCACACACCCATGTTTATCGCAGCTCTGTTCACAATAGCAAGGAGGTGGAAACAACCTAAGTGCCCATCAACAAATGAATGGATATAGAAGCTGTAGTATATTCACACAATGGAATACTATGCTGCATTGAAAAACAAGGAACTCATGAAATATTATTCAAAATGCGTGAACCTGGAGGACATTGTGCTGAGTGAAATATCTCAGTCACAAAAGGACAAATACTGCGTGGTGCCACTGTTGTAAAATGAGACTGATATCACAGTTGGGGTAAGACGGAGAAAAACTGGATAAATTATGTATACTGCATTGAAACAGATGAGGGAGAAAACTGTTTAAAAGAGATATGTGATTAGGTATTATTGTCATGAAAAGAGTCCAGAGTGAAGGCTGCATAGTGGAGCGGACCTGGGGGGAGGGATTGTAAAACAATGAATGAAAGAATTTTTCCTTTACTTTTCAAAGAGAAGAGCGAACTGTGGAGGAAGGGTGGGCAGGGAGAAAAGTGCAACAATGAATGAATGGAAATCCTAAGTCTCTGTAAATTTTCATTAAAATTAATAATAATAAAAAAGGTTGGAGTTGACTTGACAGGATTTAACAAGAAGGACCTAAAGCAGTATGTGCTAGATGGCCGACTCACGGCTGTACTGCAGAGCAGGGCTGACAACCTGCCTGCTTCCGGAAAGCTCACAGCCAGGAAAACCCCACAGGGTTCTGCCGCGTAGCACATGGAGCCGGAAAAACCAGCAACCACCAGCAACTCCCTCATAAACCTGATGTCAGGGCTGAGCCAGGTCGTTCTGGTTTGACCCCTTGCTAAGAATTGGTATTTCCAAGTATATCTCCTCGGGTACACAAAACTGGAATCTACATTGTAACACAAATCTCGGTCTTCTTAATCAAAGCTTTGGGGACCTGTCCACAAGAATCATCCCGGGATCTTGTTCATCCATAGATTTAGATTCAGTCTCTCTGGGGTGGACGTTCTCAGCTGGTGATCAAGGCTGAATAGGTATAAAGTCCCCGGCTGCCGTGAAGATTTTAAAAAGTCTGGCGCTCTAGTGGTTAAGAAGCTGAAACAGATGACAGAGAGAACTGCTTAAGAGGAATATATGATTAGGTATTATTTTCTTGACAAGATTATAGAAAAAGAAATGCTTAGTAAAGTGGCCTGTGGACTTGGAGGGGAGGGGAACTGTATAACAATGAAAGAATTTTTTTTTTCAAAGAGAAAAGCAAACTGGGAGGAGGGGTGGGCAGGGAGGAAAATGTGTAACAATGAATGAATGGGGAGAAAAATTAAATGGAAAGAATATGCTGTAAAAAAAATAGATGTTGTTGCTGTTGTTGTTATGTGCCGTGGAGTCGCTTGCGACTCATAGCGACCCTATGTACAACAGCCCTAAACTCCGCTCTGTCCTGTGCCAATCGCACTGTCTCTGACACTCCCATCCCAATTATCCCAGTCACTGAATCAATCTACCTCATAGAGGGCCTTCCCCTCCTGCGCTGTCCCTCCACCCTCCCAAGCATGATGTCCCTCTCTAAGGACCGGTCTCTCCTCACAACATATGGTGCATTAAAAAAAAGAAAAGAAGCTGAGCTGCAATCAGAAAGGCACGCAGTTTGAATCTACCAGCTGCCCCACAAACAGATGGGTAATCACTTCCTGTGTGATTTCACTGCCTCATAAAACCTGCTGGAGGGTCAGTGATGGGTCAGTTTTGACACAATGGCACAAAACAACATCAACAACAACGTACATAAGGGAGCTCTGGTGGCTTCATGGTAAGAAGCTGCGCTCTCACCACTAGAAGCAGCTCCCAGAGGCACGAGGTTTGAATCCACCAGCAGCTCGACAGGAGAAGGATGGTCAACCTCTCCCGTGGAATCGCCTGCCTCTGAAACTTGCTGGAGGGTCAGTCAGCTGTGGGTCAGTTCTGACTCGATGGTCCACCACGTCCACCACCACCACCACAACGACGCACATAAAGAGTACGCAGCCCTTTAAACAGCAGCTGCGCTGAGTCGAACAAGCTTGCAGTCAAGCAGGAGCTTTTACCAGCTTTCAGCACTTCACTGATCTCACCTGTCTAACCCAAACTCAGCCCATCTTACCGCTCACCTTTTCCCAGAATGAAAGAAACCCAGCAGGGATTTGTATTCGTTTTCTTTTAGATCACCATCAAAAAAGGCAAAGGCCCCACCATTGGGAGTCCCACTCCTGCTGACCATCTGTCACTTTCCGGAGGTGGTGGATCCTCCTGGGAAGAGCCCACCCATCTTTCTCCAAGAAAGCAGGTGGTAGATTCTAGTCACCACCCTTTTGGTTGGGGACCTCTAGTGGCGCAGTGGTACGGAGTTTCACTGTCAACCCAAAGGCAGGTGGTAGGAATCCACCAGCTGTATCTTGGAGGAAAGATGGGCAACCTCCCGTGTGATTTACTTCTTCTGAAAACTCTCTGGAGAGAGTCAGCTGTGATGAGTCCATTCCAGGTTGATGGTCCACACCACCACCAACACCACCACCACTTAAGGCTAGCAGCAGCCTAGCCCCTGACCTATGCCAGCAGGCCTTTGAGGTCAGTATTAAGAGAGGAGACGGGGCAAAGGCAGAGGGAAGGACGGAGGGAGGGAGAGCTCACCGGCTTGCACTTTTCATTCTTCGTGTCACAGAGGTACACCTCACAGTGCAGGTAGACCAGGTCATAATTGCCAGCAAACCGAAACATCTGGACAGAAAAGCGGCTCTGAGGGGACTCCCCATTCTCCACCACTTGGATGGTTGAGTCCTTGGTGCGTGGACACCTGGGAGGGACACATCACATTATGTAGCTGGTTAAGCAAAGTCCGGGGACCAGGCTTCCGCGGTTCAAATCTTGTTCTACCACCCAGTAATTAATTAGCACCTTTCTTTATCACTCTGTGCCTTAGTTTCCCCATCTCTGAAGAGGATTATAGCATAACCCATTCCCTGAGACAGATGTGGATTAAATGTGTAAAATCCACAAAGTGCTATATCGATAGATGTTACTGAAATAAAAGTGCCACTGGCACAGAGCTGAAACCATTAAATGCAGCCATTCTGATTGCTTGGAAATCATCAGCAATCAGTGCCTGGGTGGGGCCAATGGTTAGCATTCTCAGCTGCTAACACGCTTCTATGTTGTGGGTTTGAAGTTCAAATCCACTCAGAGGAGTTTCTGAAGCTTGACAGTCTACTTCTAAAAAATTAGCCATTGAAAATCCCATAAGCACAATTCTATTTTGATCTACAGGAATTTATTCAACACCAATTATACCAGTGCTGACCGTGAAAAGAACAGAGAAAGACTTGGGTTTTCTCTTAATTATAAAAGGGAAGTAGAAATAACAGAGGAAGTGTGAGTGTTAACAGCACACTGAACTTGCCCTTGATGTGACCAGAAAGAGATCTGAAAGCGGGTGGGCCCACTCTCAGCAATGTTTTCTCTGACTCTTTTAAAATTGCAAATGGACTTCTCCTTCCTCTCCTTCACTTTCTGGCTGCTGTTGTTGTTTTGTTTTGTTTCCCTCGAGTCAGAACCTACTCACAGCTGATCCACCAATGGGGTACCTAGTGAAGCCTCTATCCCTCTCCTCAAAATAATGTTTCCAAATACATAAAACACACAAGATTATAAAGGAATCCCCTTCACTCAAAAGCACAAGCTTCTATATATCACAAATGCTGGATCTTTGTGCTTCTTTATTAATGCATTTAAGCTGAGGTTTAGTGTCCACTGGCATAGTGCAGAGCATAACACGATTGGTTGTTAACCAAGAGGCCAGTGGTTTGAATCCACCCCCAACTTGACAGGAAGAAGACAGGTAGTTTCCTCTGAAAAAGACAACCTCAGAAACACAATGTTCTTATTCAGTGGCACACAACAACAGAAGAAACTCAATGAAAGATTACAAGGAGCTGGAACGGGTTATTCGTTTGAGGGGGGATTTTTGTCTTTAAAAAAAATAGGAATTGGGCTTGCTGTGAGTTGGAAATCAAAAGATGAATTGCACTGGGAATATCTGTGGTCAGGGAACTCTCCAGAGTACAGAGAAGGAATAATGTCAGTCTAGAGACTAAGGTGCCCCTAATCCAGGTCAAGGTCTTTGCAATTACTTGCTATGCATCAGAGAGCTGGACAATGACTGAGGATGACAGAAAAAGAAATAGATGCCTTTTGAGTTGTGGTGCTGGAGAAGAGTACTGAACATACCATGGACTGTCAAGAAAACATACAGGTCTGGAGAGGGTGAAACCAAGTCTCTCCTTGGAGGCTAGGATTTTGAAGCTTCATCTCACATACATTGGGCATGTGGCCAGGAAGGACCAGTCTTAAAGAAGGAAATTATGCTTGGAAGGGTGGAGGGACAGCACAGGAGAGGAAGACCCCGGGTGAGATGGGTTGATACAGTAACTGGAGCAATGGGGGTACATGTGTCAGTCAGTGAGACTGGCTCAGGACAGGGCCGGCTTCAGAACTGCTGTCCATAGGGTCATTATGGATCACAGACGACTCAGATGAGCAGGAATCTACTTGGTGGCAGTGGGCTGGAACGAATGTAAACGCTGTCACTACTATCTCATATCCTGTGGTTTGGTGCCACATTCACAAAATACAAAGGCAAAATTTCAGTTAGAAGTCAGACAGTGTATAAAGATGTCTTTTTCTCCTCAGCCGAGACAAAAGCCAGCTCCTACTGACTCTGCATGTCAGAACAAACTGTGCTCCTTAGGGTTTTCAATGGTTGGGTTTTGGTTTGTTTGTTTGTTTGTTTTCAGGACATCACCAGGGCTTTCTTCCAAGGCACCTCTGGGTGAACTTGAACCATCAGTTTTTCCATTAGCAGCTGAGCATGTCTGTGTGCAGTCCTGGGACTCCTCTAAATTCCCCCCACTGGGAGCCCAGGGGAACGCCTTTGCCTTACCTGTCTCGAATGATGAAGTACTTCATAGGGTCCGTGGCATTGCTGCTGGGCGTGGCATAGCAGTTGGTCATCAGCAGCACAAAGCGGGACAGGTCACCGCCATCCAGCATGGTGCCCACGTAAAGGAAGGCCTCCGTGGCCAGCGTCACTGCCGAGCCTTGGTAGGGCAGCGTGTAGGTGGGGTTCTGGAAGAGTGCCATCCGCACGGTGAACATGCCCGTGCCGCCCACGCTGATGTTCAGGGTGCTGCAGGCAGAAAGGGGCTGGTCTGAGGGGCAGGGCTGAGCGTTAGCGCTGAGCTCTGCAGTCCCTGGCTGACTCCAGCAGGTCTTTGCTTTATTTTAAATCTAGCTTCCAATAAGCTAAGACTCTAATATTTGATTTGCATCACTAATGTGCTCTGAGTTGCGGTGCTGGAGAAGAGTGTTGAATAGACTGTGGACTGCTAGGAGAACAAACAGGTTTGTCCTGGAGGGAGTGAAAAAGGTGGCTGCTCCTTGGAGGCAAGAATTCTGAATCTCTGTCTCACATATATTGGATACGTTGCAAGGAGGGAGCAGTCCTTGGAGAGGGACATTATGCTTAGAAGGCTGGAGGGACAGTGCAAGAGAGGAAGACTCTGGAAGAGATGGGTTGATTCAGTGACTGTGGTAATGGAGGTGGGTGTGTCATAGAGAGGAGAGGCTGGCACAAGGATAGAGTAGGGTACAGAGCTGTTGTACATAGGGTTGCTATGAGTTGTGCAAGCAACTCAACAGCATATAACAACAACAACGACGATGATGATAAACTCCTAAAAAAATGCAGTACAACTATTACTAAGTCCCTTATAAGAAGACTTACATCCTAAGAGGTAATTTCAACTTCTCTAAGCCATCTGGCTAGAACATAACAGTGTGGAGTTGAATTGATTATCAGATTCCCTGGTGGGGGCTTCTCCAGCCCCTGGCACCTGGCTCCCTCTGGGTACAATCGACAGGGAAGTGAAGTGCTTCATAGTTAAGGAGCTCTGGGGCAGGGGCGACTCAAGGTGGTGGGGACCCACCTTTCTAGCCACACCATACCTCATCATTGGCTTCAAGGTGGTCTTCAGGCTGACTTTCATATCCAAAGGGTAGGAACATGCGAAGTTGATCTTGATGTTGAGGTCTCGGATGATGACCTCATCTGCCAGGTAGAGTGTGTTGCTGTATGTGGCGTGGGTTTCATTTTTCTATGATGAGATGTGGGGGGGGGGGTGAGGGGCAAGGAGGAGCATGAGAAGCTGAGCTGCACAGCAGAGCCAATGGTGTTTGTCTCTGCCCTGTGTGCTGCCCTCCCTGTCCCCAGTGCAAATTATTAAAACAGTGGTGACCATTTATGAGGATGTGCTCTGACCTGGGGCCAGAGAGTCATGTCCCTCCTATTGCCTCATGCTTCCCTGGAAGGGAGCTCTGGTGGCTTAGTCTTAGGGAGTGTTATTGTTGTTATATGTTGTCGAGTTTACCACGATATATAGCAACCCTAATGACAATCTTGCCCTATCCTGAGCCAACCTCACCATCTCTGACACAGCTAACTCCACTGCTACATTCACAGTGTCAATCCGTCTCATCCGGAGTCTTCCTCTCCTGTACTGACCCTCCACCCTTCCAACCATGATGTCCTTCTCCAAGGACTCGTCCCTCCAGGCAACATGCCCAAAGTATGTGAGGCAGAGCTTCAAAAGCCGTGCCTCCAAGGGGCAACATAGTGTCACCCTCTCCAAGACAGAGGTGTTTATTCTATTGGAGGTCCATGGTATGCAGTACTCTTCTCCAGCACCACAACTCAAAGGCATCAGTTTTTCTTCTGTCACCCTTAGTCACTATCCAGCTCTCAGATGCAACTGAAAAGGTCATGGCCTGGATCAGGTGCTCCTTAGTATCCAGACTGACATCACTGCTCTTTAGCATTCAGGAGAGTCATAGGGAGTTGCACTGTTAATTTTAAGGTGGTGCCTATCTGGCAATTCTCCACGAGAGGAAGATAGTCACTCTCCTCTTGGGTTATTTACTGCCTCTGAAAACCCACTGAAGCGTCAGCTACATGTCGGTTCTGACTCCCTGGCATGACCTAAGTCTTCTCAGGAACATTAAAAAGATTCAAACCATGCACCAATTCATGCATAAATGGTGAGGTTTCATACATGGCTGGCGAAAATGAATCCATACCTTTTTTTCTTCTGTCTCCTGCCCTCTTCTTGGGGCTGAAGGATGTGGAAGGGAGCAGTCTTCGGCTCTTACAAACACCTCTTTCTGCTGCCATCAGTGTGTGTGTGTGGGTGTCCCTGGGTGGTATATGCCACTACAATGGACGACTAACCTAAACGTTAGTGCAATTCAATCTCTCCCAACAGCCCCACAGCAGAAAGGCCTGTCAATCTGCTTCTGTAAACTCTGTTGTTGTTGTTGTTGTTGTGTACCACTGAGTGAGTGGGAGCCGACTCTCCAGCACCTTTTCAGATGTAGTAAATTGCACCGGAGGAGACTACTCAACTTTCTCCCACAGACAAGCTGGTGGATTCAAACCATATGCCTTCGGGTTGGCAGCGCAAACCCTTACCAGTTAGGCCACCAGAGCTCCAAGAAAATCCCCAAGGAGCAGTTCTACTCTGTCATCCACGGGGTCACCATGCATTGGAATCAATTCAATGGGAACTGGCAGCTTTGGCCTTGGGTCTTCTGTCACACAGGTCCTGATTTTCTAAGTCAGAGAAGCTGATCTCACCTCCCAGGACCACTGAGACCAAAAAACTCAAGCACAGCCAAGAAAGGCAATCCGCCCATTCAGAGTCCTTCTTTCCACATCTGTGAAACATGGTGGTGTCATCCCCAGGTCATCTTATGCATCCCACTGGGCCCTTACTATATTCCAGTTGCTGACCTACTCACGTCACACACATCCACTCATTCAACCCTTACAAAACCATTCGGGCGACGTAGTATGATAAACCCATTTTATAGCTGTGGAAACTGAGGCACATCCAGGCTAAACAACTGAGCCAAAGTTATACAGCTAGTAAGTGGTGGAGCTGGGATGCTAATCAGGAAGTGCTCGGAGTGGGACCCACCCTGCCCGGAACATACCGTCATCACAGTCCCACAGGGACCATCCTGGGCTGGAGTCACCACAGACATCCAGTCCCTGTCACTCCTCTCCCTGAAGCCCAAGCACCGGCTGTCTTGTAGGTACATGACAATCTTCTCAAAGCCCAAGCTCTCCAGCTGGCATTTGCCCAGGGACACTTTGATGTCATTGGCTCCACATTCCAGCTTGGGTTGCAAGTGGGAGACATCTGAAGCAGATCAGAGAGGACAGCCTGGGTCTGTGTCTTAAGGACCCACCACCAGGGGTCAGCCAAGTGGAAGCTACCAGCTCAGGGTACTCAAGACACCGAGGTCTCCCCGCCCAGAGTGACCGAGAGACAAGATTGACTCCAATTATAAACCTTAAATAAAAAATAGCCTCTGAAATCTTAAAACCAAACGATAGTTTAATTAATCTCGTTGTTAGATGTCATCAAGTCAGATCCAACCTCACAGTGACCCAATAATAAGACAAAAAAACCTGCCCCAGTCCTACACCATCGTCATAACCTCTGCTGCGTTTAATCCTACTGTTGCAGATACCACATCAATCCATCTCAGGGAGAGTCTTTCTCTCCCCCAGACAGAACTGTTGTAGCTGTGCACCATCAAGTCAAACTTGACTCATGGATAACCCTCTGGTGAGATTTACAGCCTCTGAAAAGTCAGTGGAGTGTCAGCTATGAGGTGATTCTGAGTTGACCTATGACTTGCTTGTGGCTCATAGTGACACAACTGCTCTGAACCCTGCTCCCCTGCTCTATCTTAATCCAATTTCATGGTCTCCGACACACCTACCCCCATTGCCCCAGTCACTGAGATTTCCTATATTTACTTGAAAGAGCAGAGGAACCAATGAATTTGAAGAAAAATAGTTAAATAACAAGAACTAAAGTATAGGTAGTATCTGCAGATAGAAAATTAATATAATTGGCATGTGGATGAGAGTAAATTTATAAATGATGCTTAGAAAATTCTAGTCTCTTTTAATCACTTTAAAGAGGTAAAACTGAGGCTTGGGGTCACAGTTCCCCCCCCCCCAAGCTTGTCAGCCAGTAGACTAACAGCAGTTCTGAGTTCTGGTGCCAGGACTTAGGTCAATTTGAGTTGCTATATAACAGTGACTTTGTGTACCCTTGTGTTGTGGAGACAACTGAGGAAAGGAATCTTCCCCCGACCGCTAGCTCTGAACTCTTAAGAAACTTCCTGCAGGTTGCAAATGCTATTATTCTATCTTCCTTTTTCCTTCCGATCTATCTGCAACCTCTGGGTCATACTCACCGGTCCCTACCTTACTCTCAGGAATGGACCCTTCCTTCCGACCCGTTCTTATCACCTGTGCGCTCCTGTACCCGCCTCACCTGAGATGTTGAAGTCTTGCTTACACTCGCAGTGCCACCTGCCGTTGTCTGATTGGCAGTCCTCCTCCACGCTGCACTCTTCACAGTTCCCCTCCACAGAGGTAGGATCTGCAGTGCACAGGGACAGATGGCACTTAGTAGGGTTGCATCGCAGAGCCCTGCAGTGGGTGGGGCTAGCGGGGATGCCACCTCACCTGTGCAGTAAGCCAGGTGGCACTCGGGGGGCGCTGTCAGGTTGTAGACGTAGTACCCGCCAGCACAAGCCTTCACCTGGACGGGAGCATCCCACAGACAGCAGTCGTCGTCCCAGTGCGCGCAGGCGGTGCGCTGCACGATGCCGTCGCCGGTGGACGGGTGCGTGCCATTGAGCCACATGGGCGCCGCCGTGTTGCAGCGCAGCGTGGGCACGCACGTCTCGGGCACGCGCACGCCGCCGGGCCCCACGAAGCGGTACCAGCCGCTCAGCTCCGCGTCGCACATGTAGCCGGTCCGGTAGGTGGCGCTGCGCCAGTACTCGTTCAGGGTGCGGTACGCCAGGCACGGGTCTGCGCACGCGCGCCCACCGCCCTCCGCGGGCACGCAGGCCAGCCCGGGCTCGCAGGCGTCCGGCGTGCAGTCGCAGTGCCTCCCGTCCCCGCGGAAGCCGGCCGGGCACACGCACGAGTAGTTACCCTCGGTGTTGATGCAGGTGGCCGGGGCGTGACAGTGGCTGAGCCCGGGCTCGGCGCACTCGTCCACGTCGGCGCAGTCGCCTTCCGGCGTCAGGTGGAAGCCGGCTGGGCACAGGCAGGCGTATGAGCCCGGCATGTTCATGCAGCTGCTGCCGCCCGAGCAGTTGTGCGCCCCCGGCACCGAGCACTCGTCCAGGTCCACGCACTCAAAGCCGTCGCCGGTGAAGCCTTCCTGGCAGGTGCACGTCGTGGTCACCCCGTTCTCCATGCAGGTGGCCTCGCTGTGACACTCGGAGCAGTTTCCTGCAGACCAGAGGGCTTGACCTCAGAAGGAGACGGCTGGGCCAGTGACCTCCCCAGGCCAACCCACTGTCTCCCCTTCCAAAACGAGCCAAATTGCCCTGATGATGTTTAAACTCAGACAAAACTACACCAGAAGCTCTGGTGGAAGAGCCTGTAGGGCAGTGCACAGTTAACCCAAAGAAGGCGCCTCTGTGGTTGGAATCCACCTGTGGGCAGCGCTGTAAGAGAAAGATGCGCAATCTCTTCACATGTGATTTACAGCATGTGGGCCCGCTGGAGGGTCAGCCATGAGCCGGTTCTGACTTGCTGGCAGTGAGTTAAAGTTGACAGGAGAGAGCGCAACCTAAGCTGATCTTTTGCCCCACTTGCCTTGTGGCTTGGAACCCCTCTTCTGTAAGCTTTTAACGCCATACTTCATTCTTCTGTGGCGTGTATTGCCGAGAAGTTGCGATTTAAAATGCCCACGTTACCACACCCAGAGGAATAAAGCATCTTCAAGACTTGTCTCCTCTGACAACTTCCTAACTCCTCTTTGCCATAAGAGGAGTTGGGCATCCATCACAAGAGAAGAGATTGCCCATCTTTCTCCCTGTGGCCACTGGTGGATTCATTTAGCAAGCTGATATTTAGTACCCTGTGCCACCAAGATTGCAAATCCTGAATGTTATAGGAGAGGATTAAGAATACATCTTAGAAGGGCAAAAGTGCAATACCCACTCCAGTCTCCTGCCACTTACTTGCTTCTGAAGCGGCTGCGAGACAAGAGGCCATGGCCACCAGCAGCAGCGCTGAGGTCAGTGAGAAAGGTCGCCCCATCCTTTTTGTGTTTCACTACTAATTCTGATACTAGAAGGTCTTGCCCAAACACAGCAGATTGGCCCTTGGAGGCTTCTCCTGGTCTCTGATAACTGGGGTCCTGTCAACAGATCAACAGAGATGTTGTGTACAATTGAAATGGAACCAACCAATAGCTGACCCTCCAGTGGGTTTCCAGAGGCAGTAAATTTCTGGGGAGAAGATTGCCTGTCCCCCATGGAACAGCCAGTGGATTTGAACCCAGATGTCTTTGAGATTGTAGCATAGCTTCTTACAGCTAGGCCACCAGAGCTCCCACAGAGACAGGTGAGCTAAATTCATGACAAATCTTCTCCCATGTTGGGAAGTACGCATTGGTTGTGGCCCACATAAACCCAGGAGGCACTGAATATGTAGACTACAAAAATTGTGTGTTGTGGTGGCCCTGACTTCAGTGGGGCCCCTTGCTGTCATTCCAATCTGTATTTCAACCTTGACTCCATAAAGCTCCACACATTTGAGTTTTTAGAGGAGATTTCCCATACTTCTCCCTGGAGCAGCTGGTGGATTTGAACCGAGTACCTTGGGATTGTAGCACAGATTCTTACCACTAGACCACCAGAGGCAGTGGATAAGCTCCATACATTTCGAAAGACTAAGTCTCTTTCTTTGAAGCAAGAAGCAGTAAGATGAGGTGGTGTTTTAACTGTTTACTCCAGTCATCTGCTGGGATTCTACTTGCTCAGATCCATTCATCCATTCAACAATGATTTATTGAGCACCTACTGTGTGCCAAGCATAGAGCTATGCACCAAGCAGAACAGTAATAAAATGGACCTCATGAAGCCCACATATTCTAAAGTATCTTAGAGTGAGTAAGTGGAGAGGCAGCTGCTTTCACAATGCGTTATATTTTCAGAGTGATTTCATCCAATCTCATTTAATCCAACCAACAAAATAATCTTAGTGGGATACTGTTAACCCTGTCCTGACAGCAGCGAAATAGGTAGTATGTGGTTAAGTGTCTGGAAACTGGAGCCCGCAACCACTGAACACAGTGTGGCATTGGCGAAGGTATTATAGTTCTTACGACTCTTTATAGGAATATCACAGAGTGCTGAAAAACGAGTTTGTAAAACACTAGACAGCATGGATGATTCTGAAAGACAATAAGCTGAGTGAAATATCAGAGTCACAAAATTAAAAGTAAGGCATAAGAACATTGTTCTAAAAATAACACGGATTCAGGGAGAAGAGAGCAGGGAAAGAGTCAGTAGATAATGAACACTACACTGCAACAGGGAGCTCTGGTGGCCTAGTGGTAAGAAGCTGTGCCACAATCCCGAAAGCATGCAGTTCTAATCCACCAGCTGTTCTGTGGGAGAAGGATGGGCAATCTCCTCCTATGCAATTAAATTGCCTGGGAAAACTCGCTGTCAGTTCCAGCGCGATGGCACATGACACCAACATCACCACACCGGGTGTTGGAATAGGAGAAGGGAGGAACTATCTGAAAAGAAGGGTTGCTCAGACATTATCGGCAGTTGGCAATCTGCAATAAGAAAGGCATGACCAAATGGATTGGGGGGAGAGAGGAAAATGAGTCTCAGTGTGTGAATGAAAACCCATCCTTGCTGTAAACTTTCACTATAGTTACAATTTAAATAGACTCTTTCATATCTGTGAAATGAGAATCATTGCTTTCACAAACTGAGTGCCTACTATATGCCAAGAGTACTGAATATACCGGGAACTGTCAAAAGAACAAACGCCTTTGAAGCAAAGTTGGAGGAGACTTGGTCTCACTTTGGCCACGTTATCAGAAAGGGCCAGTCCTGGGGAAAAGACATCGTGCTTGGGAAACTGAAGGGTGAGCAAAAGAGAGGAAGACTCTGCAAGATCGGTTGGCTCAGTGACTTGCAGCAGTGGGCACAGGCACAGCAGAGGTTGTGGAGATGGCATAGAATGGGCTCTTCTGCTGTATGTAGGGCCACTATGAGTCACAGCCAACCCTGTGGCACCTAGCAACAATTCTGTGCCTGGCTCTGTTCTAAGACATGCTGTACTCAAACAACTTATGTCCCTGACTGTGTTTTTCAATCTTTTTTCACTGTGACCTAAAAATAAGAAAAACGTCATGACTTCTTAAGATGACGCGTGTTCTCTCTCTCTCACAGACAACGGAAATAAAACAACATGTTTCCTTCAACGTGTACATTGCTTGTGGACATCCTCTGTCACATTTAATGAATACAAAGTTCTGGATCTAACCCATTAATGATTTCAGGGTCCACTAAAGCCTATTGTTGCTGCAGGGGTTAACTCAGAAGAGACAAGCAGAGACCAGAACATAGGGAATGTTCTTCACTGCTGTATCCTCACTCCTGGTGCCCAGCAGACACTTAACAAATGTTCACGGAATGGATGAAAACCATTACTGTCTGAAGAGTTTAGACTCAGAGGGAGACTTCGCAAAGATCGCAGAGCCAATGGGCAGAGGAATAGCTCAAACCCAAGCCTGAATCCCATGTCCAAATTCATTTCTTCACCACCCACTCTCCCAGATCGAATGAGTCCCAGCAGAAGAGTAGATGCAAGACAAGCTGGATTAGAAAAGAGCTATAGACAGCCTTACCTGAACCAGCGAAGCAGAATTAGTTCATTCGCAAACATGTGCCTCTTATATATACATACTCACCCCTGGCTCCAAATCTCTCCTCCAATTACCCTCTCTTTCTCTTTCTTGAAGATTGTTTCCTTGAGGGTGGAATTGGTGGGTTGGTTTTGTGGTTTTTTTTTCTTTCTGCATAATATTTTCCTTTCCTCTCCTGTGATGTTGTGCTGTTCCCCTCCTCCCCCGATAACTATAGACTGACATTGGAAGTCACACCTGTGCCCAGAAATCTCTATTTTGCACCTTTTGGGAGCAAGAGATTCCTTAGTTAGAAATTAACTGAAAACAGTGGCATGCTGCTGGGTTTGTTGTTTTATTTTGGGTTGGTCTTTTTTCTTTTCTTGGCAAGGGTGATGTGGACCCAAGGAGCCAGGCAGAGGCCAGTGCCTGCAGCCAGGTTACGCAAGGACAGAGGTTGGAATGTTCATGTTCCCACTGAGGGATGTGCCTGCGATCTTTGGGTTCCCCTGCCTTGGAGGAGGCATCTTTCCCAAGCATGCTCCTCCTCAGGGGGTCAGCTGCCTCCCCTGCGTCCAGATCTGCATGGGAGCTGAAAACAGCAGAATGGCAAAAGTAAAAGATAATGAACGCATCACTGGATCTCACCTCCCTGCTCTGTTGTTGTGGTTGGAACTGACCTATAGATGAAGCCATCTTACAAAATGAGAAACCTGAGGTCCCCGAAGGGAGTTCCTTGGGAGGTGGGATCCCTTCAGAATTAAACACCCTGAGTTTGCAGAAACTCCTGGTTCTGTCATTTGTTTTAGGAAATGAACTCATCTTTTAACCTTCTTGAGATCTTTTTCTTCATCTATGTAACAAGGACAAAATCAAAAAGCCCTAACAAATCAAAAGCCCTGGCTCATAACCCCTGGGAGGCACAAACAGTTATATTCTTAGCGACTAACATAAAGTCTTATTGGCTTAAACCCTCCTAGGAGAACTGCAGAGAAAAGACCTGGGCTGTTCTTCTGTAAGCAATACAACTAAGCAGATCCCACAGAGAAAGTTCTACTCTACAGCACATGGGGCTGCCGATCACAATCTACTCGATGGCAATGGGTGTTGTGTTTTCTTTTCCTTTTTTAGGGCTGACACGGTTGTCCAAGGAAGGATGCAAGTGAAGTCATGCAGGCATGATCCCATCAGTGTCCTCACTGCGCAGCTCCTGCTTTCCTGTTACACAGTCCCAGGTAGGAAATGCTGATCCCATTCAGACAACAGTGCAAAAATCAGGGTAAGAGCAGAATCAATGGCATGGAGAAGGACCACATTCGGTTATCCACGGGGTGAGTAGAAAACACAACAATAAACCAGTAGCATTGAATTGTTCAGGAACTTTCTCCTCCTGGCCCATTCAATCAGCTCCTTGGGAAAAAGTCCTGGAACTTGGAACTTCTGGGTTGAAGTGGTGACATAGGTTTAAGAAAATTATTTTCCTGTCTGTAGTGTTTTTATTATTATTATTATTATTATTATTATTATTATTATTATTAATTATTATTATTCATGTACCATCAAATCAGATCTGACTGGTACTGGAGGAAATTGCCCCTCCTTCTCCGGCAGAGCATCTGGTGGATTCGAACCGTGTACCTTTGGGATTGCAGTACAGCTTCTTGCCTCTAGGCCACCAGAGCTCCCCAACTGTTTGGTTTTTTTTTTAATGTTTGTTGTTGTAAATGTATATGTACACATATATATGTATGTATGTACACACATATGTATGTATGAATGCATACACGTGTATTTATAGACTACAACATTTTCCAAGTCAATGATTTGTGTGTGTGTGTGTGTGTGTGTGTGTGTGTGTGTGTGTACTATTTGTTTTAGCTTGGAAGCAAGAGTGGCATCCACTCCCAAAATAGCTTTCCTCCAGAAACCCTATGAACCTGGAGAAAGGATGATAGTCATACAAGTGTCCAGGTCTTTTGTTCATAGGGTTGCTATGAGTCGCCTACAACTCGACAGCACTTAACAACAGCAACAGCATAGAGAGAGATCAGTTGGCCTACTGGACAGAAAGTGATGCTACCAAGCCAAAGGTGGGTGACTCTAATCCACGGCCCTCAGGCCTGTTTTTAATTGTTTTCTATGAAGCATTCTTCTAGGTCATATAGTCCTGGTTTGTCCACTTGCTGTACAGAGGTAACTCATGGTTGCTGTGAAGCTGAACACTGTGACACTGATGTGTCAAATGCGATAGTGGTTACCCATGGCTGACAGTATTGGGTGGAGCTCCCGAGTAAAACAAGCTTGGAAGCAGGAGTGGCATCTACTTCCGTAATAGCTTGCCTCTGGAAACCCTATGAACCTGGAGAGAGGATGAAAGGCACACAAGTGT